GGTATACCTAATGATTTTACTGCGTTTTCGTTGTTACAAAATGGGAATATTCTGCTATTGACAGGAATCATTATATAATTTAAGATAAAATCGAATATGTTTTCTTTTCCGAGATATTATTTAAATAAGCATCTTGCTGTATTCCAAAAAATATTTGTAAGAAATAAGGATAAAATAGATATTTTCAAGAAACATGGCACTAAGGGCCAATTTTATATTCAAATTAAAGGAAGCTTCAATATGAAGCTTCAATATGAAGCTTCAATATAAAAAGGACAATTTAAATGTTATATCGATTTCATAATACAAATTTATTAAAAAAGTACACTTTAAAGCTTCATTTAACTAAATACCCGTTTCTGCTCCTTTAGCGTGCTTCTTCCAATGACGTTTGACAATTTGTCGTTTTGATTGAGTTTTGATGACATCGCGCCAGTTGTTTGGTTTAATTTGATGTAAATAAGCAAATAATATAATTTGTTTTTAAATTGTCGAATATTGATTTAAAATGTTCTGACTTTTTATAAAAATTAATTAATCAGTTCTGACCATAGCCCTCAGAAGGTCTAGATACCGCATCGTAAAAACATTTTGACCCCCATATGATGGGCGCCATGATAAATAAATGTCAATAAATTTTAAGTTGGCACTACTGACGAGACAGAATCGGCGCAAGTTTAGTATAATAAGCGTAAGATCGGCGTTCGACGAATATAATCGATTTTATTATCTGTTGTGTTATTTATTTTGTTTTTCTAGTAAAGGTTTTATTTAAAACATTATTTTTTAGTTTAGTCGTTTAGTGTTTTATTTTAATAAAAAACATTTGTGGTTTGGTGTTAAATTTTTACAGGATTTTCAAAATCTCTTTTTGTTTTGTACGTGAATGTAACAATGCATCTAACGGTAGAAGATACAAGGAAGGAATAACATTTCATGTGTAAGTTTTCACAAATATTTGTGTATTTACAAAATCAAATAATTTGTATGTTTTGTTGTAGCATACAAAAAAATGTTAGGAAAGAATAACTGATAGCCATAGGAAGACCATTGAATCATTTTGTGACTTTAGTATAAGCCCAGAAAATTTGGGGATACTAGCTGAAACGGCAAATCTGTTATTGGCTCCTTTTTAGTGACCTATTGTACAATTTTTCCAACACAAGTTCCATGATCCTTTGAACTTGGCTGCACCGTACTGATGAAGACCTATAGTCAGAAAAACGTGTCGACCGTTACTTCTTTTTTAATTCTTTTTATTCGGAAATTGTCCACTATTACTACCTTGATACAATAATATTAGTTCCGTTCTAAGTAGGTACATATTATAGTTTGTATGTTTTATGCTTTATTTTATTATATGTAATAAATGATAGGAAATATACTTTTATAGTAAATAAATTGATTAAAGTAATATGTAAGAATAAGTTTATCTAAGGATTAAATTGTTAAAGCAATTTTTCATATCTATTGTTTATTAATTTGTTTCATTTAATTCTTTCTTATTGAGTAAGTTATTTCATATAAATATGCAATACTTGTAAAATGTAATATTTTCTTTTAAATAGGTATATATTATGTTCGTATAAAATATTGTTCAGTTAATAAAAACAAACATTTTGTCTTTTATTCAAAAGAAGTTTGTAAATTTTTCAAAATATATTTACCTACCCCAAAAACAGATTAATAAAACCAGTTAGTCATATACACATTTTCTATATATTTATAGAGGTACTTTTTAAATAACTTTCAATACATTCGAAATCTGTGGTTTTATTAAACTCAATGTAACAAATAATAATAGGTATTCTCAAAAATATTTAAAAATAAAATCGTGATGGGACTCTTGTATAATTTAGTGACTATTCGCCTATGGTTAGTGCACTACTGTATGTCCCTGGGTTTTCTACATTAGAACAATACTGCTTCTCCACTCTAGCAGTATTTTTTGCATCTCAGATTATATTTATTAAAAAACCAAGGAATTGTTTTGAGCCTATTGCTGGGCCCTTTTCCAACATTCCCAAAGTTTTTTTTTTACTTTCTGCTGATTGGATCTCCGATAGCGACAACTCCATTTGTTGTTCCACTAGTTTTTTTATCAAATTTTTAAAATAACTTCTATATATTTATCTTTTGCAATTACTTTGCTTACCTGCTTCATAATCTCTTCCCTATGCCCCAATTTCTCTAACAGGTGAGATCTTATACTCGCTCTATTAAATCAAATTATCATTATAGTTTATTTGAAAATGCTTGGTAGCACAGTTTTTATGGCAAAGGTCCATATTTTTATATAATTTTGCTATTATTCATTTTCAAATAAACTATGGGAATAGGAGTAATCTATTAGTTTTTCTAAAATACCTTGTTACAGATGTAAGTATATCTTTCCCTAGTTAAAAAATTCGAGTTTTTATTTTCATAATATAATATAAATAAATGACCGGTTAACAATCACATTCTTTTAAATAGTACATTTGACATTGAAGTAGGTATTTTCTCCATATTGCCAAACAGAAACAGATGGTTTACTTGTAATTTGAATTATATTACATAAATCTCACTGAATTTCTCTATAATTCTCATAGCAATATGTACACAAACCACTTATCCAATAATATATAACCATGTAAAAATAACATTTCAAGAACGAGAAATTTTATAAAACCGGTCCTGTCTGAACAGATCTAGGAAAATCAAATAGGTTTGTCAAAGTTTTGTTCTTAATTTGAAATTAGAAATTGTGCGTCTCACTCACTTATAACTAATAACAAAGTGCAGATTATCGGTGTTCAAGTATTACAGAACACACAAACTAAAAATCAGTGTAGCCAAAACATAAATTTACCTAACATGGCGACAAGCTTGAATGGGGTCATTTTTTTTGTATTGACAGTATACGCCAAGCGGTATCTAGACTTTCTGAGGGCTATGGTTCTGACATTTTTATACTCTACAGAGTGATTTTGTTTCTGAATAATTAACATAATAAATAAATATTTCCTACATCAATCTCAAATTGCACCAAAGAATACCTACCCAAGAAGCGAAACTGAATGGGTTTTCGTATGTACCAAAGCAAGGGAACTTAATAACTGGGAAACGTATGAAAATTAATCAATTTTTGTCGTTTGGTTCATTAAAATTAAACACATACTAAAGTAACAATGACAGATAACACATTCTTACTATGTTCGTTCATATTAGGTATGTTCCAACACGTGCGAAAACTGTAATATTACCGTACAAATCATGCTCTCTATACAATTTTTGGGTAGAGCGCACGATTTGTACGATAATATTACGGTTTTCGAGCGTGTTGGAACAAACGTTATGTCAAATAGATTATTTTAATAACGAAATAATTCAGTAGGTACAATAAACAATACCGAAAGCAAATGACTTGGTCATTCTGCAAATAGGGAATTTTGAGAAAAATTATGGAACAGTGGTGCAAGGACCATTCACTGTCTATCAATCCCAAGAAGACAGAAATAATCCTTTTCACAAAGAAAAGGATAAAAATGAAATTAAAACCTACAGAGTTCCAAAACACGAAACACAGAGATGAAGTACCTAGGTAGCACCTTTGACAACAAGTTAACTCACACTTCAAAAGAGCATACATTACTTATAAACAATTCTACCGAACCGTAGGGCGCACCTGGGGTTTCTCCCCAGAGTCGTCACATGGACTTACATGGTCATGACCTATGCTAATATACGGTGCAGGTGTCTGGGTACAGAAAATCCAAAAATAGACAGCTATCCGCAAAATAGAACAAATTCAAATAACAGCATGTCTCATCATAACAGGAGCCATGAAAACAATACCGACTAGAGCCATAAAAGTCATTATTAGTCTCACTGCCTTGATATTTACATCAAGGTGGTTGCTCTGACGACAATGACATGCCTCCGCACGGTTGGAATAGAACCTGATGTAGGATCTGGTGAGGCGAGACGTGGCTTTTGGCAGGAGGCGCTCGATACGCTCCCACTGCTTCAAGCGAAGATATATCTTCCATAAGCCGTATGAAGTTATAACAAAACAAATAGAAGATCCGGAAGTAGCAGGTACGATTCATATCTACACCGACGGTTCTACAACAAAACAATGCTCAAGATGTGGAATATACTCCAATTCTTTAAACCTCAACATAAAATGGGCTGTGAGCAATAGTGCCAATGTAGTTTACGGAGATCACGGAGGTTCTCATAACAGCAAAAGAAATAATTAGGAACAATATCACTGGTAGGAACATGTTCATCTATACAGAGAGCAGATAAACACTACTTACCCTGAACAGGCTACGAATTTACTCAGCGTTAGTACTAGAATGCCACGAAGCTTTGGCAAGAGTATCCATCCAACAATTTGGTCACCTTAAGATGGATGTATCAAAGGTTACGCCACCTCGAAAGGTAGTCTTATTGCTGATTCATTATCCAAGAAGGTGGCCAACCAAATACTTTTTGGACCTGGCCCTTCTATTAAACTGACAACATCGTTAATCTGTTAATTATCGACTAATTTTTGTTTCAGAATAACGGAAATTTAAAAATTTTTTGCACGGTTGAATAGAGAATAAAACCCCCTTTCAAATGAGCTATCACTCACCATCCCATGCCATTTAAATTTTTCGAAAGGGTTGTTCCCCTCGAGTAAGGGATGAAATTAAGGGTAAACTAATCAAACAAAAATGTACATTGTAGAAAACAAAAATCGACCTGTCTCGGCGATTTTCCTAACAAGACTCCAGTAACGAGTTAGTTAGGGGGGGTAAGACTTAAGATTCTCACTGTATGTGAGCTCTTCTGTCAAAGCTTCAGTGAATCACCAATAAAGAGTGAAATTTTATGAATCTCTGGCAATATCTAAAAATAAAATTTTTTCAATAAATAAATGCATTATAATTTTTACTTTTTATTATTAGCAATAACCAATAAACTTATTTTAGTTTTTACTATCATAATATAATGTCTTTTGTTTCCAGGGTGGTATGATCCTTCACGCTCAACTGGAAATATGGAAAGCCGCGTATTCTGAAGAGGATTTAGGAATTCAATGGCGCCCAGAAACAACTTCGAGCAATGCTTCCAGTGGAGATATCACAGATGGTAAAAACTTTTTTTTTATAATAATATTGCTGGAATAAATCAAAAAGATAACTCATGAATAATTGCTCTACAAAATAATTAATGGAGACATTATTTGTGAAAAATTGTTATGCCAAGTAAATTTTGTTGTTCCGTTAAGGCATACTCGACAGTCACAACTATTCTTTGAGAAAACCCATCGTACAAACTATGGACAAAGAGCTTTCATGAATAGGCTTTTGTGCAACTATAATAAGCACTATTCTCACTGTGATATTTTTAATTGTACGTTATTATCTGTTAAGAGGATGCTCGAATTTTAAAATTTTAGGTTGTTTTCTTGTCTTGTATGGTGTTAGACTTTGTTTTTTAGACGTTAAATGTATTTTAAAATTTCTGAAGAGTTTTGATATTTATATATTCGGTTTTTTTTTATGTATATATAATTATACTTTAATTGTTGTTTTAGCTTTAAGACTGTGCCATTTGGAATTCATATTTCTGTAGTGTACTTAAGACAAATAAATAAATAAATAAATTTCAGATTGTAGTCTATATATAATTTTATTAACAATCATAATTGACATTTGATAATTAATGAATAATTTTAAATTTTGTTCAATATATAATTTTATTCGGATAAAAACAGAGAATTTTGATTTTACCATTTTATTTTATACGAAATACTACAACTTTTATCAAATAATAATAATATTATTAACTCGCAGAAACGTTAGTTTCTTTGTTCTGCGTGACATTTATAAAGCTTTTAATTCAATTTTTTTATAATCTGATATAAAATATGCAGAACGTTTAAGTTGTTAACCTTCATGGGTTGTTATAACTCTAGTTATTATACAACTTTTCAACATAGGTATTGTTAATTACCTTCTTGCAGATAAAATCGATAAGGTTGTTTCTTAAATGAATAGATTATGTGAGTAATATAGGTAAAAAAATTATATGTACTTATAGAGCCAGAGGGTTTGGGTTTGGTTCGCTTAGCATGGGAAAATATTTTATAAATAGATTTGAAATTATGGTATTAATTCGCTATTAAAAACTATAACATTTTTTTTTGACAACCGTTATATTTTCCACTACTTTTTACCTCTTACGTAATTTAAATTAATAATAATTAAATCAAGAAAAAACTATATGAATATATGAATACTGGAAAGAAAAAGGGTTATAAAAAATAATCGCTTATGTGTAAATAACAAAAAAATACACATTAGAAGTGTTAAATACCAATCCCGACATTTTAGCAAGTTTATCCATTATCTCTGGACCTCCTACTTCCGAAGGTTTCTATTTTTATTTTTAAGTCATGATTATTATTTCCTTTATAAATGATTACAGTGTCATCAGTAAAACTTATTATTTTTTGGCCCTCGTTTTCTAGTAAAAATAAATCATTTATGTAAATTGTTAATAGAAAAGGGTCCAACACCGTTCCTTGTGGTACTCCACACGTTATGTCTTTTGTTTTATTAAACATATTATTTACTTTTACTTGTTGTTGTCTGTTCTGCAAATAGCTCTTGAAAAAATCGTGTGCTTTACCCCTTATCCCTTTGTTTTCAATAACATCTAACAATATGGTATGATCAACGGTGTCGAACGCCTTTGCTAGGTCAATAAAAACACCAATTACTGTGTCTCCTTTGTCAGTTCAAGTATTGCATTTTGGGTTGATTTTCCCTCTCGAAATCCAAATTGAGATTTTGAAAGTAATTGGTATTTTTCAATAAAACTATTAACTCTTTTTTTTGACTACCTTTTCTAATACTTTGGCTAAACTAGATATAAGAGAAATAGGTTTGTAATTTTCTATGTCATATTTATTTCCATTTTTGTAGATTGGTGTAATAATTCTGTTTTTGAATGGTTCAGGAAACACTCGTATTTCAAGTGATTTATTTATTATTACGGTTAATGGGTATTTTATATAATTTACAATGACCTTAAGTACTTTATCTATAATTTTTGTTATATGCCAAATTTTCCTGAAATGGTCCGTATTCGAGAAATTGGACATAATGTGCAAAATTCGAATTTTTTAGAAAATTGTTAAACTAAAAGTTGTTTTCGATATCGATCTCTATAATTTTTGTTTTTGACATGATTTTTCTAAAATGGACCGTAATAGAAAAATTGGAGGAATAATGCTAACTTTTAATTTTTCAATATTTTCGTTTTCAATGAATATCTATAGAAAAATGTTTCGAGTTATATGTATGTATAAAATGTATATATTTAGTTTATTCTCTAAACATTTATAGAGGTGCTGCAATAGCCTATAATAACTAGATAGGAAAGTCAGTTGGACACATCAGATTTTTTTATTAGCTCGTTCTAAATAATTTAACTTCTCAAGATATTCGACATGATTTTCTAATTTCTCTATTTTGCAGTCTACTGACTCACTTATTTTTTTTATTTCTTCTTTTATATCTTTTTTTAAAGAACCAATTTTTTAATCAAACATTAATTCAATTTTTTTCAATAATTCATTATTTGTCATATTGCTCATTTTTACTTTCCTATCTGTATACAGATATAAGGAAAGTATAGGAATCATGATTTTTTTCGACCTCGAGTTTTCGACGGATTTTTACGTTTTGAGGTCCCCTGAATCCGTTTTGACTATTTTCGCGATGATGTCTGTGTGTGTGTGTGTGTGTGTGTCTATGTGTGTGTCTGTGTGTCGCATAACTCATGAACCGATACACAGAAAAACACCAAATTTTAAATCTAAGTTTTATTCTAGCGTCTAATGAACTGATTAGATTTTGGGCAGAGTCGGAACATCTGGGGGGGTACTTTATAGGTGGTCATTTTTATATTTTATGAAATATATCTGTTATTTACGTTTGGAGAAGAAAATTCTTCAAATAAAAGTTACTTCTAATATAATTATCTATAATTTTTGTTTTATACAAAATTTTCCTAAAATGGTCCGTATTCGAGAAATTTGACAAAATGTAAAAAAAATATTTTTTTATAAAAATTGTTCAAATAAAAGTTGTTTGTAATATAATTCTCTATAATTTTTATTCTATACATAATTTCTCTAAAATGGACCGTATTCGAGATATTTGAGAAAATGTGTAAATTTTGAAATTTGAAGAAAACTCAAAAACGGATAAGGAAAAAACATTAAATTTTAAACTTAAGTTTTATTTCGGCCTGACGTGAAATGATTAGATTTTGGACAAAGTCGGAACATCTGGGGGGGTACTTTATAGGGGGCCGTTTTTATATTTTATGGAATATATCTGTTATTTATGTTTGGAGAAAAAAATTTTTCAAACAAAAGTTATTTCTAATATTATTATCTATAATTTTTGTTTTATGTCAAATTTTCTTGAAATGGTCCGTATTCGAGAAATTTGACAAAATGTGCAAAATTCTGATTTTTATGAAAATTAATGAAATAAAAGTTGTTTGTAATATAATTCTCTATAACTTTTATTCTATACATAATTTCTCTAAAATGGACCGTATTCGAGATATTTGAGAAAATGTGTAAATTTTGAAATTTGAAGGAAACTCAAAAACGGATAAAGAAAAAAACATGAAATTTTAAACTTAAGTTTTATTTCGGCCTGACGTGAAATGATTAGATTTTGGACAAAGTCGGAACATCTGGGGGGTTACTTTATAGGGGGCCGTTTTTATACTTTATGGAATATCTGTTATTTATGTTTGGAGAAAAAAATTGTTCAAATAAAAGTTATTTCTAATATTATTATCTATAATTTTTGCCTTATGTCAAATTTTCTTGAAATGGTCCGTATTCGAGAAATTTGACAAAATGTGCAAAATTCTGATTTTTATGAAAATTGTTGAAATAAAAGTTGTTTGCGATATCGATCTTTATAATTTTTGTTTATACATGATTTTTCTAAAATGGACCGTAATGGAAAAATTGTAGGAAACGTGCTAAATTTAAATTTTTCAGTATTTTCATTTTCAATGAATATCTATAGAAAAATGTTTCGAGGTAGATGTATGTGGAAAATGTATATATTTATTTTATCCTCTAAACATTTATGGAGGTGCTGCAATAGGTTGTACAAAATAACCGGAAAAAGCCTGTAATAACTGGATAGGAAAGTCATGTGTTGGACACATCAGAATTTTGCTTTTGGTGTCCTGACCATTTTTATAATACTTATAGTACTAATTTTTATTGATTTATTAAAGATCTTATGAAAAAATTTTTCGTAAATGTATAAATAAATGCAGTTTTCAGTAATTATTAGGAATTTTTTCTACTCACAGTAATGTTCTTTTTTTTCTGCGTCGTTTGGTAATATTTCAAATTTTTACGTGCACTTTGTGTCTGCTTTATTTACGGTTTTAAGGAACGTTCTTTTCACACAACTGACACTGCCGACATTTTGACTGAAATTATTTATTTATTTAAACAACTTACTTATTTTTAATGTAATCGGACTCTACTTGGATCCATTATTTAAAATGTGTTTTAAGTTTATCGATATTTTAAATAAAACATTTTTTGATCTATTTTAAAATATATAATTTTGGTTTCAGAAGAAGAGGAAGAAACTCCTTGCCCCACGGATACCACTAAGCCTACCACTTCTACTAGATCCGGATCTCATATTCATCTATGGCAATTTCTTAAAGAACTCTTATCGTCTCCCCAAACACACGGCTCGTGTATTAGGTGGATAGATCGTACCAGAGGCATTTTCAAAATAGAAGATTCCGTGAAAGTAGCGAGATTATGGGGTAAACGGAAAAACAGACCTGCTATGAATTACGACAAGCTCAGCAGGTCGATACGACAGTACTACAAAAAGGGCATAATGAAGAAAACGGAGAGATCTCAGAGACTGGTTTACCAGTTTTGCCATCCGTATTGTTTGTAAATTCGAAATTTTGGTTGTATGTACATAGCTTCTAGAGTACCAAAGTAATTTCTGTGTAAAATAGTCGGTTGGTGAATTTGGTGGGGGTTTTCGGGTATAATCGAAAAATGTAACGCATTTTGTTATCAAAGTGTTGAAATAAGTTATATAGGGTATTACTATATATACTTATTGTATGCTAGTTAAGCGTACCTAATTGTAATTAAAGGAAGGTAATTTCCTAATAAATCTTAATTATAAGTTAAAATATTTGCCGATATTGAGAAAAAAGTCTAAACAAAAAAAATGACCTTAAATGAAGCTTGTTATTCATGGAAATATCTGATGCTCGAGTCAATTTAAATTGACTTTAGAAGCTCGATATTAAATTGAATATTGGTCTGCGGTCGTTTTTTTCTATAGTATTTCTCGAAATTCGGTGATTTTGGTCCCATATATCTATGATATATTATATTAGTAAGTTCTGTGAACGACTATGTATATTTTAAGATTTTTATGGCAATAATAAATTGTAATGACAGTAATAAGAGTAAGAATATTAAATATGTTCATAATAATCTCACTTTAGTATATAAGTACGTACTGTATCTTTTTCTGCATAATATTAGGATAATAAATAAGAAAATATTAATAAACGGTTCCGCGTTTTTATCGTTATTATTACTTTTAATTACGACTTTGTGTATTTTTTATATTTATGTATTAATATTTGAAAAATATTTTTACGGATTTAATTAGAATAAACTGTTTATATAATTTTTATTCATTTGTTTAATTCCGACTTTTTCAGATAAGCAAGGAAATAATTATTTATCCAAAGTAGCCTTTTGCGATTGACGTTAAATGACGACTTTACCACTTTAGAGCGACATAACATTTTAAAAACGCTAGGTACAATATATTTACGATACAGAGTAGTGATCATTAAGATTTAAAACAAAAAAGTAATAATAAATTTTAAAAAAGAAAAGTAAATTGTACCAATTAATTTTTTTTACCACTACTAAGTGGTAGTATTTCATGTAATATAGAATGCAACATAATATACTTTACTTTAAAATAACTATGGTACCCTAAAAATACATTTTGTCATTAAAATAAAGCAATACTAAGTACTGGAATGCCACTATATAGCCTTCTTAAATGTACAGTGTGAATAGCAATATAATCTTAATTTAATTCATTGACTGATTGATACATTCAAAGTTATTAAACACAGGCACAATACAATAATTCGAAATTCGACGTTCGATATTATTTTAAACTTTAAAATAAATTGTTCAAACCTACCTTATTTTGAATTATCATACCCCCTAACAAAGTGTGATGCAACGGTAATGGTTTTTGTTTACTTGCCTATGAAACGTAATCGAACTGAACTTGAGATACTTTCTCGAGCACATAACACACTTCATTGGCATTTTAAATCAATTGAATGAACCAAAACTAATTAAACCACAGAAAATGTTCTATTAAAGTACAAAATAAACACAAAATGAACGATGTCAACACAAAATAACCATAAAATGACAACTGTATTCCTGTCAATTTTTTGCTAACCAATCAAATGCGTTACCAAAATAGCGAATATCCAAGCAACTCGTGTAACCACTGCTACATAGTGGTGGAAGATGCTGGTTACAAATATTGCATGATAGGGCTGTATCTTTTATTTATTTATTTATTTATTTCTCTGAGGACAAAAATATAAACTTTGACATATCCTACGGTGTTGTCAAATGTTCGCTCGCTCGCATGTGTTCATTGTTTTTAATTTCGTAGTCCTTTTCCAGAGGGAGTCATGAATAGCTAATAAGCTTTGAATATGTGCATACGTTTTTAACTATTCGAATATACTCAATGCGAAGAGTAAAATACACTTGTCGAAGGTTGGTCCCCTGATCTACTGCATTCAGTTATCAGGATAGCTATTCACTAAGTCATGGGAGTGCTCCCATATATTTTGCTCTCTTACTCTTAGGTGGGTATATCGTGCTTACTCACTTTTAGCCCAGGTACATGCGTAGTAAGGTCAGATTTTATACTATGGGAGGGAGAATTGCGGGCTTGCCAGATTAGGTCCGTATTTATCACAAAGCAAATTTGAACTACTAAGGGCCGATTCCACCGTTGAGTTAAACGGAGATTAAAATGACATTGTTAATGTAAAAATGTCATTTTAAACTTCGTTTAACACAACGGTGGATCGGTCCTTAAATAGTAGATCAAAGTTATTCTGTCAACTTGGCAACGTTGGCATGGGAGTATGGGAGCATGGGAGTGCTCCCATGAGTTAGAGAATAGGTATCCAGCGGGAAGTAAACTCAAGGTAATTCACATTGAAAAGTTAGTGCCATACCGTGGTCCAGATCCTCCCCGTTGACTCCAACCAGGTCCCAGTAATCAAGTTATTCGGGACAAATAATTAGAGGAGAGGGAGCACTGTTACTTGACGTTTTTCCTTTATTTTAGCTTTTTAGTACTTCTATTTTCATGGCTTATATTTTTATAATATAAATGTTATTTTATAGGCATGAATTTTACTCCAATTTAGGAAGTATATTTTTATGTATTAAATGACGTTTTAGTAGCATATATGCACATGTAAACCACAAATTCGAGTTATTTTAAACCTACCTAGAATATTTTTAAATTCTACCTAGAGTATCCTTAAATCGTATCTAGAATATCCCTAAACCTATCTGGAATAACCTTTTTTTGAATCATCTTGGTTATTGTCAAGATATTCAAAGAATAATTTAAGAATATCCTAGATACATATCTGGATTTGTCAATAGGCCGTATAGGCCGCGGCCTAGGGGTGGCAGCGTCCTAGGGACAGCAGATTTCAGAGGACGCTCATTCCATTTCAGAGGATAAAAGTCAAACAAGTTCACTGGTTTTCTCATGGTTTTTTATACTAATACGTCAAATCCCTATAGAAACTCATTCCTATCGAAAAATATCAATCCTAGGTACCTACTGTTATTGAACCTATTTTATTTATATTACAACAATTTGGTTCAAGAATTTGTGCACTTTCACAGTCACATTTCCTCTAATAAAACTGCAGAGTGTGCAGTAAAGCCTGGATCAAACTCACTACTGTCACTCAACGTTTTTAAGGAATCAATCTCTGTCTAATATTTACCCTAACTTTGATATAGCGCTCTGCATCGCATTTTCCACTCCGGCTACAAATTATTTTTGGGAAAGTAGTTTTTCCTATTTAAAACGCGTGAAAAATTATCAAAAGTCTTCATTGTCTCAAGAAAAAATGAATTCTTTAGCTCTTCTCTACGTAGAAGCAGAGATAATGAACACCATAAACTATGATGATGATATTATGGATGATTTTGCTATTAAAAAGTCCCGTAAAAAATTGTAATTCTTGTTTTTTTTACTCTCTTTCTTAATGACTAATTCATTCGTTTATTTAACTTTAGTGTCTTCCTTATTACAAATGGAAAATCATTATTTTAGAAAGGTACATTGGGCGGTGGAAATAATGTGGCCTACACTCATAACAAATATAAATCCGTCACTGCCTAGATAACTTAAATGAATTTTTATAACTAGTGTTGCGTTTATAATGGACTGTGAATTTGGGCTGACTAATAATTTATTTCTTTTAATTAAACAATGACAATCTTTCACCTACCTTTTCTAGTGGCTCTGGATCGGAATACTTTCTTCTATATTTTCCTGTGGGCCCACACTTAACATTTGAAGCGGCTTGATACGAAAATGCGATCTTGATACGCGAATGCGGTTCACACACGAAAAAGTGACATATTTGGTGTCGGTTTTAATATTGTACTGATAAAAGAGATAACACCTGCACTTGCCAATTTCTTAAGAAAGGTTAACGAAGTGGGGGACTGGGCGGCGACCCGAACGGGTACGGACGACTTTAGGTCCAGTGGAATTTTAAAGAAATTTATTTTTTATAAGAAAGAGCGTATTTTAAATAGTACATTAAAAAAAAATTGCGGTAAATGCATTATTTAAGCCAAAAAAATTATTTAATTTCTATAAAAATCAGCATTTTGACGACTGTAAACATCGAAACTCAATGGTTCCTGTCAAATTTGGAAAATATAATTGCAACGTTGCCGGATTGTGATAAAATTAGTAGTTAATGGAAAATTGTAATTGCGCATGCCGGTCCATAAATATGAAACAAGAAAACGAAGCAACGACTTATCGTAGAGTGGCGGCGAAGCAGGGTAACCACCAAAAAACATCAACCCATACCTGGCTACGCCGACCGGCATATACTCCAACGGCCTGGACGTAGCTCAAATTGAATAATTCAAATGAAAAGTCTCAAATAAACACATTTATATGCTGGTTTTATCATCTGGCCTGGAGCTATTGAAAAAACAGCCACTGTCATGTCATTCCTGTTATGTACGTTCTTTTACTATGTTTGACAACTCCACATTTATAGAAATAATAATATCAGTTGTCATATTATTAATAAACAAAAAATAATAATAGAACGGTATTACCTTGAAAATTCCACACCTGTAATTTTGAACCAATCAAAATACGTGTTTTTGACAGATCACCATGGCAACGGAGGTATTTTAGTGGAAATTTTTTTCTCGTGGGGTACCCAACAGCGAATTATACTGGAAATTTTTTGACGTTTACAATAACAAACCATTTTTGACAGACTGGTTTTTATTTGTTCACATAATAGGTTTAGTTTTGATACACTTTAGTTACAATGCTAAGGTGTTTTCTATATTCTTCGGCCACTTCTTTTCTTCTTAATGGCGAAAATGCAGGACTTTGGATGCCTTGAATTATGTGTCTATGTCTAATAAAATATATATAATATTTAGACACTAATTTATTCACCTTTTTCCCATTCAGCACTTTGAATTTTGCGTAGTTTAGGTGCAAATATTCGTGGACAATTCGGAACAAATTTTCGTTTTTCAAGTTGGAGCCACAATCCTCTATTAATCCGAGTAAGTAAGTCATGGTGCAATGATTGATCATTACATCAGACAATTTCACGCATATTTTGCATAGCGTATGATTTTCAAATCGATTCATTTTTAAACAAATAGGTAATTTTGTTGGTTTTACTTGCTATGCAATATTCTTTATCGCAACAAAACGCGAGTTATTTAATGTTTTGAACTGTCAAAATACAATGATCACAGCCTCCTACGATTGATGCTTGCTGACGCTGGTTATGAATTTCATACCATTTTAAAGCGCTCATAACGCATGTTAATAAAAACGCAGAAAAACAATTTTCTACCACTTGTAGTTATTCAAAACTTACGTAAAATTAAAGAATATACTATTTTCTATTTTCAAATGGTATTCCCATGCAACTACAATGAGTAGAAATAAGCAATTTGAAGGCCTAAATAATTGCAGCGAAACATTTTTTTACGTCGGGCCGCTTGACAACTTCAAAACTGAAATTATATTCGAGGTTAGGGTCTCACTTAGTTACCATGACAACTCAACAATCAAGGCGACAACACCTTTTATGTTTCACTGGTGACTTGGAGAAAATAATTTGCATTGTTGAGAAACGAAAAATAAATTTTAAAAATATTTAATTTTCAACCATAATTCGGCGTGGAATTTTCTTACCGAATACCACGCGAGGTCAAATTAATATCAGGAAATTTTTTGACCTCTAGTGGTATTACTAGTGAGTATATTTATTTATAACAAATAAAAACCAATTGGCAACATCGCTAAAATCACGCACAGGTGCTCTTAGTATGGCTGTCAAATCGAAAAAATTAAAAACAATATGGCTACGTGAGAATGTCGTGAATAAATGCATATTCTTAATTTTTTAGCTTACAAATGTGTTTTAATAATAGTTGTTGCTTTAATTAGGTTAGTGCACACTTATAGAAGATTAAAAAGTGTAAAAATATTATGGTTTTACTTAATATTGATGAAAAGTGACAAAATTACTGTCCCTAATATCGACGGTAGCCCTCATAAAAAATATAAATCTGGCACTACCTAGATAACTTAAATGAGTTTTTATAAATAGTGTTGCGTTTATAATGGACTGTGAATTTGGGCTGACTAATAATTTATTTCTTTTAATTAAACAATGATAATCTTTCACCTACCTTTTCTAGTGGCTCTGGATCGGAATACTTTCTTCTATATTTTTCCTGTGGGCCCACACTTAACATTTGAAGCGGCTTGATACGAAAATGCGATCTTGATACGCGAATGCGATTCACACACGAAAAAGTGACATATTTGGTGTCGGTTTTAATATTGTACTGGTACTGATGTTTTTTAAAAGAGATATACACCGGTGTAAACATCGAAACTGGATGGTTTCTGTCAAATTTGGAAAATATAATTGCAACGTTGCCGGATTGTGATAAAATTAGTAGTTAATGAAAAATTGTGATTGCGCATGCCGGTCCATAAATATGAAACAAGAAAACGAAGCAACGACTTATCGTAGGGTGGCGGCTTCGATTATTTTTGTAAACATTCTTATAAAAGTACTTTTTAAATACAAAATTTCGTTGGAAACAATGCCCATTTACTTCTTATTTAAATTAAATGTTCAAATTTTTAACCTTTTGTAAATTTATTGTGACTAGTTTACAATAAATATTATATTTAGACATAAATATGTTATTTCCCAATAAACATTTTGTGTAGGGGAAGTAAAGGCCTAATAACTGTCACCCTCCAATTACATTGATGGCCATTTGACTTTTTTAATTAAAAGGCCGGCATATATAGGTCACTACGGCCGACAGTCGGGCCGAAGTCACTTTTGCCATCATAACCAATTAATGGGCCTTCATTTCCCCTTTAATGTCTAGAAATAAATATTTTGGCAATTAATGGCCTATTGATGGGAAGTTAACGGGAAATTGCTGGCCTTTTACCATATTAATAAAAGCCATGTGTCAGGAACATGATCCCAGAATATTTGATAGTGTCCTTTGACCAGTAGTACACCGTTTGAACTATAATATCTATACAAAAACAGAAGGCATTTCAATATAGAATATTGTAGAAATATTATTTAATTCAGCTATATAATATGATAATACTGGAAAAATGTCTTCTTCAAAAAAATTATTAATAAAATATTCTAAATTAACATGTAAAAGTAAAAAATTACAATGCATACTGAATACCAGCAATTCGCTCCGTGCAAAGTCATGGAAAGGGAAGCAAAAGCGATACTAGCGCTAGCTGCGGATAATTCATGCATTTTAGGGGGATATTTTGTAATTTTGGCATATCAAATACACGTATACATTTTACTTTTTTTCAAAAAAGTAGGTAAAAACAACACAATAAGCAACCGGAGTTGCTGTGTTGAAAATTGTACAAATACTAGCAAAAAAAAACAGTGAAACTTATATAACAAATTTCACTAACAAAGTGGAAATTAAATCAAAGAAATAAATGGATAGGTGTACAATAAGAAGAAAAATTACCTTTATTTTTGTGATAATAACAGTAATGCTGGAAATAGTAGACATCAGAAACTAGAAAGTTTTTAAATAAACAATAAATTATCATTTTACGATGTTCTTTAATATCCCTTTATTCTTAAATGTTCATTCAGCAAGGACTAGATTTCAAGATTTCTGCCGTTGATTATAATATTTGGCTGGTATGCAATTTTGTGACTTACTGATCGGAAACCAGTTTTAATCATTCATTCTATGTTTTCTTTAGAACAAAAATGAAAATATAAGTAGCGATCCTTTTTATACACGCTATTATAAATGGTTTCTTCAATGACAACTTATTAGACTTAGGCAAGTTCTCATACATTTTCCAGTAAATACTGTTGCCTGCCTATATTTTATTATTGATTTTTAATGATTATACATCATTTTCTTCAATTTAAGCGTGAAAAATATATAATAATAATAAATTAATGTTTTAATTGTTTTATAAATCCATATACTTTTATTAAAACTAACATATATACTTTTTATTTACGAATTCTATTAAAAATTGTATTTGTCAGTATAGGCAGAAATACTCCTTTAATACCATAACATATTGGCGCTGCTGTCGCGCACGGAGCGAATACGAGACTGGCCCGCATGTCCACTCGTTGAGTATGTAACAAGCGATCATCGGTGTATCCATCTATGAACGCGGGACGGGGTCCTCCTGGACTGTTTGCGGCAGTTAAAAACCTTTTGACTTTTACCATGCTTTTATCCAATACAGTTATTTACTCTTCATAAGGCTATCATCAAGCAACATAATGCTAGGCCACTATCGAAAGGCCAAAAGTAGGCTTTTATCTTTTAATCGTCACATTCATTTTCCCTTCAATTACAGCAAAAGACCAGCAATATCCCGGCAATTTATTGTTTGTTGGGTTTACTTACATTAGAAGTTTTAAAAAGACATTAAATTGATTTCTCCTTGTTTTCTTTTACATTTAATTTGTATCCTGTTTTACAATCTGGAACGACGTAAATCTTGCATTGATGTTTTTTGTCACTCATGTTACTTGTACTCGGGTACTTTTTTTTCATATTATTTTGATTCTTTTCACAATTTTTTTAAAAAATCACTTCATTTAACATAGAAAATAGACACCGCTATTATTAGACATGCCAACTACAGTCAATTTCGCGAACTTTATAAAAAGAAGGACGGAAATTTTAAATTTGACCATAGTAGGTTATTTTAAATAAAATGTTTTTTGATAATTTAAATTTTTAAAAACAGTTATTTGATAATTTAAATTTTTAAAAACATTTTTGTCTATATAAAAATGAATTTTAACCTAATTTGTAGATATTTACTCATCAAATTTTAAACTGGTTTAAATATTAAATAAACTGTTAGTGTTTCTGTTTTGAAATCTACATAAAACATTGACTTTCAATATTATCTCCTTTTTGGTGATTTTTTGAAATACAGATAATATTTCTTAAATTAACGCGGTTGTAGAAAAATCTGGTGTGCAATTCGTTGCCGCTGTAGACAGAACTTACTGTCTCAAGAGATTGTTACGAATAGTTATTGTTTTAAGAGTATCTCATTTTGCCTCCAGATCGCCAATTATCGTGTTCAGAAGGTTATAATAATAGTATATTACGTGTAACGTACTATACTTTTTCTACGCCCACTTATTTTCTTCTATTAAATAAAGGGCATATGCTTGTGTCGCCAATCCATAAATTTTCGATAGGTTATTTCGTACCTTTCTTTGGATTTTACATTTAGTTAAATGTCATTTACAAGGAATGTTGACGGTGCGATTTTTAACGTTTACTGACATGGGCGTAGAAAAAATCAAATTCTATATGATAAAAATATAATTAGGTAACATAATATTTACATATAAAACAGATTTACACATCTAAATTTTTTCATCGTATATTATTACCCCTATTGAGTATTTTACATCCACTGGTATATAAAAAAGCTTTAACTTTATAATATTCTAAATTTATTATCAAAATACTTCATTTAAAATATTAAAATACAGTCTATTTTTGATTAGAAATAAATCTAAACCTCTAACAAAAATTGCAATCGTTTTACTCCAAAATAAAATGTAGTTCTTTTTTTCCAGGATATATCTATGACTTTTATTAATACATAAAATTATCAGTTACTAAATATACATTTTTGTTAGAGACTTAACGAAAATAAAATCTTATAGCTATGCTGCAAGACTTTATTCTTTATTATTACAAATAACTTAAAAAAGACAGGTATTTTAGAATATTTTTTCTTACTTTTTCTATATACATAAAGTGGCACCTGAATTAAAAAGTATAGGTATCTCAAAGGAACAAACATACCATCCCAACTAACATTTAAGATTATACCTTGTATATCATAACCAAAGTAAAGTTGTTATAAAAATACAATCAAACAAAAATAGTGATAAATGCAAAGTAGCTATTTCTATTACCAATAAAACGGCAGAAAGCAGCAAATAGCGAATTAATAGCTTTAACATATATGCCACTGTTATCAAAATATCTGTTAATCTGGCAACAGTACAAATCGCTGCCTCAGTAATAAAGTGACCTAACTCGAAAATCTCGAATTATTTATTTTGGTCATAAAACGACTCTAACAACCCCAACCTACCGGTCTGTCTAAATCCGGCTTCGACTTTGCACTATATGTACGCAAAATGATATTTGCGTCTCTCTTACACTGACCTCCTTTCGCGCTTACTCTCGTCAGAAAAAGACTCAATTAGTATAGTCACAGCTTAAAGAATATTACAGCTAGGACACTCGCCTATTATTTCCACGCTCGAAATAAAAATGCCCCTCTCCGCGGACGCTTAACTGAGTTAAGCGAGCCAGGCATTCCGTCGACGCCAGTGGATAGATAAACAGTCTAATTGAGCAGAGCCGCATTACAAAAAAAATAATTTGATATCTTTCCCTAGGTAATCGAAAGTGTTTGTTGTTGTGTTGTTTTATTTTTGTTGGTGAAATGGGAAAAGGTTTTCCGGGATGTGCAGCTGTTGGTTGCACAAATAATTATGGAAATAATTCGAAATACAGCCTTTTTAATTTTCCCAAAGACGAAAAAAGGTATGTAATTGACATTTTTGTTATTTGATTTTTCTAAAATTATCCAAATAGGTAGTAGAAATGCTTTTTAACACGCTTATATTAGCTTCACCTCTATGTATGTTTTTTGTAACTCTTCTTTGGACTCAAGTGGCGTATTACTGTCAGTATATCCCACTATGTCAAGTTCGTTCGTTAGCCTAGCGGTCTAAGGCGCGGGTTTTTGATTGCCAAACTCACCGATCGTGGGTTCTAATCCCCACGGCTAAAAAAAAATAATTTTTTTTTCAGCTATTTCAACTTACAAAATTTTTTTTAATAATTATTCGTACTAAAAAGTAAAAAATAAATATGGTTTTAAAAAAAAACTAAAAAACACGCTGTCATAATACATCGAACTAAATAGTGAAAAATAAATATAGTTTAAAAAACTAAAAAACACGCTTTTAGAGCATATCAAACTAAAATTATTTTTTTTAACACGCTTTTATTCAAATAAGCTTAAAATAATAAAAATGGAAAATACTAGTATTATTGTGAAACAAGCGTGGGGCGCTTTGTCCATATTTCTCGTACATCGAGCGCCCGACGCTTTTTTCACAATAATACTAGTATTTTCCATTTATTATTGTTTTAAGCTTATTTGAGTAAAAGCGTGTTAAAAAAAATATTTTTAACTTTTTAGTTTGATATGCTCTAAAAGCGTGTTTTTTTGTTTTTTAAACTATGTTTATTATTTAATATTGTTTACATATTAAAATAATATGTAGGTACCCTGCATATTTTATACTACCTTGGATTTAAATATTTTCTAGAGCGAAGATATGGGCATTGGCCGCGGGAAGAAACGACTTGATCGAACATATGAACAAATTGTTTAATAAAAAAATATGTTCTGTCCATTTTGAAGATTGCATGTTTAAAAATGAACGCCGAAATAGATTACGTGATACTGCGGTACCCACTATTTTTCATGGATTGGAAGGATCATCCAGTAAATCCATGACATCAGAACAAGGTATTTACAAAAGAAAATAATTATTTGGGAATAAAAATAAATAAATCGTCCTTTTTTTAAACAGGTATAAAAAGGCCATTTCAGTCTCAAGCAGAAGAGGTGGTTCCTGTTAAAGTACTGAAAGTTACAAGTGATGGTAAATATTTTTATTATCTTAATTATAATGTTCACGAAGTTTTAACAATAAAATATAACTCGTGTAATGAACATTTCCTGTTATTATTGAATAATTTTACTCATCAAGGTAAATAATTGAAAAAGCTTACTCGCGCACTAAGTGCATTTTTGCAATCCTTCTTTAAATTTGTTATATTATATTACTAATGATAATTATAACATTGTAGAACACATAAATTTGGAATCCAGTTGTGCAAGCGGTAGCAGAATTAGAAACTGTTATATTGGAGGACAAAATAGATGGTAAAAACTTAATGTCAATCATTTTGTACATACTCCTCTTTTATTTTATTTTGCAGAACCGAAAACACCTGAAAGAAATATTTCAAGCTGCTTTTCTGCTGGTACACATTCCCAATCTTCTCAAACATGCAAATCACTAACAGCCAGAACCCCAAGAAAGACAGCAATCAGGGTCAAATATAAGTCTTTAACAAGAAAATATACTAGATTAAAACAAAAATTTAACAGGACTCATCAAAAAGAAAATTATTTAGATTTAATTACGTTTGAAGAATACAAAAAACTTACATATAAGTTTTTCCCGTCATCAGAACTTGCTTCTTCAATAATTGCTGTAATGAGCCAGATTAAAAAAAAACCGAAAGGCAGACGGTATTCAAATGATTTTAAGAGCTATTGCCTTTCTTTGTATTTCATTGGACCAAAATTATACAAAAAAGAATTGGTTCCAAAACTAGGGTTACCATCTGTCAGAACGCTGGCACGCTTTATTGAACATGTCAAAATTCTTCCTGGTATTAATGACATTATTTTTAACAGTCTTCAAATGAAAGTATGCAATTTTCCCGAAAGAGACAAATTTTGTACAATCTGTTTCGATGAGATGAGTATTAAAGCTAACTTGTTTTATGGCAATGATACAGACAAAATTATTGGATTTCAGGATTTTGGAAACGGGCAAAAAGATTTTTTACCAGCTCTAAATGTAACAGTTTTGATGGCCAGAGGTATTTCTTCCAAATGGAAACAACCCCTGGGATATTTTTTTGTAAATTCTACATGTCCGGCCACAAAATTGAAGCAAATTGTTTTTGAAATGATATCGAAATTAAGTGCCATTGGGTTAAAAGTTAAGGGAATAATATCTGATATGGGCTTCAATTATCAAAAATGTTAGACATAAGTCCAGAAAAAACATATTTTTACCATGAAAATAAAAAAGTTTTTTTTTCTTTGATACACCGCACTTATTAAAATCGCTTCGCAATAACTTATTACGAAATAATTTTAGAATAGATGGTAGGAATATATATTGGAAGTTTATCGAATCTTTTTACAGGAATGACCAAAATTACCCCGTAAAAGCAGCACCAAAACTTACCGAAGCGCATATCAACCCGAATAACTTTCAAAAAATGAAGGTAAAATATGCCTCCGAACTATTTAGCAACACTGTATCAGCTGGATTAATTTTATATATTAGATTTGGAAAACTGCCTCCAGAAGCAACTGCAACACAAGAATTTGTGCAAAAAATCAATAACCTTTTTGATTTATTAAATTCTTCTAATATTTTTGGTGCTACTTTATATCAAAATGCCTATAATGGCAATATTGACCAGAAAACATTTCTTGAACAGTGCTTCAGTCTATTTCAGAATCTAGTGGTTCTAAATTCAAAAGGCAAAGATGTTACCAAACGAGTAAAATGTATCCAGGGTTGGAAAATTACCATAAGAAGTGTAATAGATTTTTGGGATGAAATAAAAAATGAGGGTTTTAAATTTTTGTTTACAAGGAATCTACAGCAAGACTGCCTTGAAAATTTTTTTGGGTGCGTCGGGCAGCAAAATGGTAATTGCGTTAACCCCACCCCTATACAATTTATTAGAAGTTTTAGAAAACTTTTTTGTATGAAAATGTTGAATTCGGGAATGGAGAATTGTGAAGAAGATGCTTCAAAATTGATTTTAAAGTTTGCTGATATCCCAAAAAATCAATATGTCGATGTGCCTAAAAATCAGCAAGAAACAACTACAATCGATAAGGATTACGCCAAAAGCGATATTCTTGAAAAAAATTTTTTTAGATATATTTCTGGATATCTTATAAAGAAATGTTTCAATATTCATGAATGTTCAGTGTGCCAATTATATGGAAATGAAGTATATTTGCACTTTAAAGCCTTTACAAATGATACAGACCACTTATTTGGAGGCCTTCTAATGCCAAATGATTCTTTCGTTTATTTTGTATCCTCAATGGAGGCTATTTTTCAGAAACATTTTAAAGAACTTTCCTTGAAAGATAATATATTATGTAAATTAATCGAACTATTTCAAACAATTAAACTTAATCATCCTTGCCAAAATTTTCCAATAATGTATTTGTTAAAATTATACGCCAAAATAAGAATTTATTATACCTTAAAGAATATCAATAAGAATTTGAATGTACCAAATAAAAACCGAAAGCTTCTAATTTGGAATCATTCGTAGAAATTTAAATTTGTAAAAAATAAAAAAAATCAATGTAACAATGTACTTTGCCTATTTCTTTTGCTGTTAAAAATTAGACAATGTAGAATGGATATATTGTAAATAAATTTTCCTACGACCACTTAGGAAAGTGACACATATCACACTATATAGACCTATGGAAAGTGCCCTATATCACACGCGTATGAATAAGAATTTACTTTCCACCCAAGTGAGAATATGCTACTTTCCGCAGTAGCTGTCAGAAAATGTCAAACACATAATTTCTATTTTGATCTATGTAATGTCCATATTAATGCTAAAATCGATATGATTGTTAAATTATTGTAAATTAGATCCTAGATATTTATCTTTAACAATTATTTTTAAAATAATTTTAAAATAACTAAGATATATTTGCTTTTTATTCTGGTTAAACACATAAGCGATTAGATCAATCAATCAATTACCGTAAGGCCTGTTAGCTCAGTTGGTTAGAGCATCAACTTTGCAATTTGAGACCGTCCAACGACCGCGATCGAATCCTGGCTGTGCCAGAATTTTTTTTTTATTTTTTTTTATTTTTTTTTTATTTTTTTTTATTTGTTTAGAAATTATGAAAATTTAATAAATACGATTATTGTTGATTATTTTTTTAAATACATTTTAATTATTATAATAATCTGGTTTTACATTTTTTGATGAAATTATTTTGTGGTCGTAGGAAAAATATTGTACATCACTTGTGTGAAAAGTGATTTTCCACACTCGTAATGTAATATATTATATTTTGTTTTTTTAATATTGAGAATATGATGTATTATTTATTTAAATTTAAACCCAAAAATAATACTAAAAACATTTATATAGATTATTTTCTAGCAACAAAGTAATTTTAAGTATACGTCAAGTGGAAAAAATTATAATACACCTCTGGCTGGCTGACTAGAACCGTTGTCGGGGAATAGCGCGCTACCAAGATCTCCCTACTTTTCTTCCACCACCGTGTTGCAAATTCGTGCGTAAAAAGATCAAAGCGGCACGCTGGACTGTCTTAGCTGTTATATTTTTTAAGCTGTGGTATAGTTTCATTCGTGCTTAAGATAGGTCTGGACAATTCGACTTTCAGGCGTTATTTGATAAAAGAGAGGTAAGTGATTACTATTTTAGTTTGTTTTAAACTGGCTTATTAAGAATTAAGTCAGTTTATTATTACAAATACTTTCATACGAACATGTTATTTTTAGTCATTTTCTGACCTAACTAGAAATCTGTCTCTTTATGACAAAACGTTTGGTAAATTATTAAAATGTATTAAGAATTGTGTCATTATTGTATCAAATACTTGTACTATGTGTTTATCTTCTGAATATGTCGTTCTACAATTAAAAGTATAGTCGAGTATCTTTATACTTCGATACTGGTAATAAGTCTGTACGTTATTAAAACTTAATAAAAGTAAATGGTTCATTAATACATTAGTCATCATTTTATTTAACTTTTGCTTATTTTTTCCGTATTTTTAAAAATGAGCGGCAGATCTCGAAAATTACTAGGTCTAGCACTGCACCAAAATAGTAATTCGGTTGATGAAAATCCCAATATACTAGACCAAGGGCGGGCAATGAGTGCAACTATGGAGAATTCGGAAAATATTCCACCTGATGTTTCACTGTCTGAACAGGTAAGTTTATTAGTGAATTTTTTTCTTCTTTTAGACAGCAGCTGTTTACGATTAAGATGATAGCCAATCATTACAGGCAGCCTTCTTTAAATTATCGGATATCTCCAATTAATTCAGACGAAAGTGATGCTGACATAAGCGATACTTTTAACGAATTACAGACAAATAAAACCGGATCTCGATTTTATCGCAAATCATCAAGATCAAGTAGTTCTTTATCATCAGGCAGTAGCTCTTCATCCTCAGGCAGTAGCTCTGCATCCTCAGGTAGCAGGTCTTCATCCTCAAGCTGCTCTGCTACTGTAAATAGGGCATCTAATACTCAGTTGGACGCTACACAAATAAACGAAAATGCAATTGAACCCACAACGATAGAAATGGTTGTAACTGAAAACAAAACGTACACCGTCGAAGTGGAAACGTAATTAAAAAAAAGAGAAATACAGGTCAGGCGTATGAGTCATAAAGCAAGTCAAAGAAATTTATTCCAGTTCGGAAAATGAAACCTCCTTGTTCCGACACAACGTGTAGACTAAAGTGTATAGAAAAAGTGTCTCATGATCAGAGATTCCAAAGTTTTGAAAAATTTTGGAACATTGGCGACCTAGACTTACAAAGAGCATACATCCATTCTTGTATGACCGACATAACACCCAGGTATAAATATACAAATGCAGAACAGCCTCGCAAACCCAACAAAGCATTTCATTTCATAGTTAATGAAAAACTTACAAGAATTTGTAAAACATTTTTCATGAGGACGCTTGATATATCCGACCGGTTTATTCGCACAGTCAAAAACAACCGCGATGCTCATAGTTTTACAAAACCGGATGGTAGAGGTAAGCATAATCATCATAAGGATATAGCTCTAAAGCTAGTAGAAGATATTAAAAACCATATTAATTGGATACCCAGAATGGAAGCCCATTATGTGAGATCTGACTCAAGTCGAGAATAGATAGACGGAAGTAAAACTATCACTGACCTTTATACCGATTTTAAGCAATCTCAAAGGGAAAGCAACAAAGATCCAGGTAACGACTTTAACATCGGATTCCATCGACCTAAAAAAGATCAATGCCATTCTTTGCCTTGAATACGCAAATTCGTCCCAACGAAAACTACAAATATTTGAAAAATACGATAGCCATCTTAAAGAAAAAGATGAAAGCAGAAAATTAAAATCAATGGATCGTGAAAATATACGACCTAGAAGCCGTGTTGCCATCTCCATGGGGTGATACATCTGCTTTTTATTATTATAAGTCAAAGTTTAACAGTTATAATTGGACGTAGTTATGCAGAAATGATCCAATCCACAAATCTACCAGAAATGACTTGAGTAGCTTTTCGATATGTTACAGTCCAAAATTATATTCTGCTAAAACGATCCAACAATTTAGAAGGATATTAATAGTGAAAATCATAAATACTCGCTATATATTCTATGTTCATCGCGTGGAGAATTTAACTTTAAACATCATTTTTCTCAAAATATGGTTTAGGTGGATTGGATCATTTCTGCATAACTACGTCCAATTTTACAATTGTAGAATTAACTAAGAAAACTCCAGAAGAGAATAAAAAACATCCACCTTACGATCATGTTCATTGCTTTTTTTGTAACGAGACTGATGCAAAACGAGGCTCTATTGAAATTGGATCTTGTGTCTATAAATATTTAAAGATGATAGACCAAATTGCAACTCGTCCCGTAAATATCATTTTCTATTCTGACAATTGTGGCGGGCAAGCCAAGAACAAATTTATCACCAGCTTATACCTGTATGCAGTCACTACATTGAAAAATATTGACACAATTACCCACAAATTTTTAATCAAAGGTCATAGTCAAAATGAAGGCGACAATGTGCATAGCCGTGTGGAAAAAGAAATAAAGAAAAGCCTGAAATCAGGACCAATTTATATACCTCCGCAGTATATACCTTTAATAAAAGATGCCAAGAAAACAGTTTCCCCCTTTTACGTCCACGAACTTGACTTCCATGCATTTGTTGATTGTAAAAATCTTCAGGAGCAATGGGGTTATAATTTCAATGAAAATACATGAGGCGAACAAGTATTGTGGAATCCTATTAAAGTCTTACAATTTACAAAGAATAAGCCCTAAAGCAACATTTTTCATACTTTCTGCGCTTATTTATAATCAATATTCCATTCGTTGTATTATTTTTAACTTTATAACAGTGTAAACGTTTGTTGGGATAAACTATGCTAAAGTTTTTTCATTCTTGTTTTACCATTAAAATAAAAGGAAAAATAATTATTGAAACATATTTACAAGATGGTTTTTCAATTTTTTATCATTTGAAGCCCTTTTACTTTATTAATTTACAGAAGTAAAAGGATCGTTTATATTTAAGTAAAACTATTAACAAAAAAACTTTAAATTGTTTATACAACCCATCGAAGATACAACCCAATTAAAAAATAATAAATAAATAATTGTTTCCTAAAGACGATTTTAACTTTTTCATCCAGCAGATGAACCTAAAGCTGCATTTCCTAATAATCTTGAACCTAATGCTGATCCTCCTCCGAATAATGAAGAAAATGATGATGCAGCTCCCTGAGAAACAGTCTATAATTAACGAAACATGAAGAAAATTAGTCTTAAGTGCGAAAAGTGCAGAATACTGTCATATATAGCAGTGTGGTGCAAGTGTTATTATATAAGCTATACACATTTTTTGTTACATCTCTTTGACAATATACTGTTTAGTTAATTTTTAAGTGTGATTATTTTAAAAAATTACTATTAATCTTCCTTATTAGGTGTGTCAATCAATATTTTAATTTGTTTTCGGTGTCTTCCTCAATTTATTTGAGTAAGGTTCAAGTTTTATTTTTTACATATAGGTACTTAAATTTGTAACAGAATAATATTATTTTTAAAATTGAACTGAAATTAATTTTCTGTGTTGAATTTTTCAATCTTGTCAGGTATGCACCCCGCAACAATCATCTTCTAAGCAGTCACATCTTTCATTAACATCATCATCATTATTATTATTAACAATAGACAAATTTTCATCATCAATAATGTCTTTGTAGAAGTTTAGGTCATCTATTTCTCTCCATTCACCATATAAAGCTGTCAGTAAATCATTTATATCTTTTTTCATTGCATCCGAAATCATGTGACCCAACCGCTTATCTTCCAATACAAAGGAATCAGATCCTCACTGACGACCTTTCTCCAGAAGTGAAATGTATTTCATATTCATGTTCGAATCTGAAATTTTCATTTGCCTTGACTGTAATATTAGTTTTTCCAGACTTTGTTGTGATTATTTCTAAGTAAATTCTTTTCTTATTGCTTATATTCTCTGTTATTTAGATGTGTAGAGATACTTTTGGTGTCTTTCAGTGTCCAATCTGTTCCCAACTGCTTTACGGCTCCAACTTCTTTAAATAGCTCATAATACTCTTCTCTTGTTACCATAGTAGTTTTCTTCCGAAGAAGTTTCTCTAACCTTCCAAAAACATGGTCGGTAGAGAGAAAACTATGACCTCTTTGATAGGATCTTGGTGGATTGAAAGGAAGTTCATTAATGTGTGGATAACAATGTTGTGTTTGTTTTGTCCTCCGCATCCATTACAGAAGAGCTTTAATACCTTTCTTCCATTAAAATCACATGTTTCCAAGAAGTTCAGGAGAGCTGAAGAAACTTCAGTTGACCCTCTCCCAGCTTTTTTTTTACATCTGTAATACATAGATTATAGAATAAAAGTTTCCGAGCATAAAATGCTTCTTGAATAGGAGTTTTGGGTAACTGCTGCACTTGTTGCATGTAGATAATGTTTTCTTCATGTTCTTCTTTCATGAGTTCATAAAAAGCTTGAGCTCTTTTTTTATGAATTCTGAGTTTTATTAACAAGTTAAGTTTGGCTTTACCGATAGCATTTCTAGTCCTTTCACAGTAACTACACGTCAGTTGCTGAACTCTTGAATCCATTACTAAAGTCCGTGTTGAAGACATGTCGAAACATTGCAAGAGATACATGTGTAGGTTTTGGTATATGAGTTAGACATCTCGCTATAATAATAAAAATTTATTTGACTTCAAAAAAGTATAATATTAAAATGTATTGACAGTCTTCTTCGTCAGTATTTGTCGTCGTCTTGTTTATTATTATTTTTTCTTCATTTCTTTTTCGTTTCCATAAAAATTCCATGACCACGGTCGTCAAGGCTCGACTAATCAGGGCACACCTCAAAAGACGTCGAGCCGATATATCTACCTAAGGTTTAACAACGTTATGACCATGACATCAGTTTCGACATCGACGCTTGACCAACCTCAAATACAAACGACTTAAAAAATTTAAAATGAAATGAAATAAATGTTTTGGTGCAATAAAGATGCAGCTTCAGTTTTTTTTTCTAATTTCTCCAAAAATTATAAAGTTTAAAATAGTTTCAAATATTGACCAAACCTCCCTATTATCGATTGGCATTTTGTTTTTCAGTTTAAAATAAAAACTTTTATTAATAGCTTTTTCCCAATAATTGCATCATTTTTGCAGCAAACTCCTCAATTGTATATTATGTTTCATATTTCTCAAAGAGATGTAACGAAAAATGTTGTTCATTAATTGTCTATAAATGCTTTTCCATCTAATGCATTAGATCATTCCCATACCTGTAAAGCAGTCCCCAAGAAACTTGAAATCGCTTTGGTAACATTAACAGCGGCTGTTATCAAATTGCTTCGGACAAGCGTATTTGGATTATCATCATCTACTCCGGGAACTGGTCTGAAACCAATCGGTGCTCTTACAACCCGGTTGGTGGTTGTTTCAAATTCATCAAATTCTTCAACGCTATTGCTAACCGAAACTATAAGTGGTGGCGGTTCTGTAGGTAGTTTTCTGGGTTGTCTTTGCGTTGATTGTCTTTGCGATGGTTGTCTACTCCTAATTGTGGTGGGTGCAGCAGTACTTGTTCTTCTGGAAGTGGTGCCATGTTCACCGTTAGTCATCACCACTACTCCTTCGTCTAGGTTGATTAGATTTTGGATACTCTTTATTTGGGAGAGGTCCAAAGTTCCTTTGGAAGGATTCTTCTGAATGCCTAAAAACAATAATGTGAGGAATAGTCATCATTGGCGCAGCTAATTAAGAAATAAATAACTATAATTAAATACTGTACCCTCTAGCTGACTTATTAATTTTTTAATATCATCTTGGCTGAGAGCATTGGCTGTTTTAGATGGCGCAAGGGTTACTACAGGTGTTACGTGCGTGGGCGAATTAGCCAGAAGCTCTTGATCTATCGGAGGCTTTTTAGGTTTCGTAGGTTTTGCCGGTTTTCTGGTAGGTCTTCTAGTCGGTACAATCTGTGGTTGTGGTTGCGGTCCTAGAGCTGTCAACAACCAATTTAATCCCCTCATTAAAGGACCCGGTGGAGGTGGTGCAGGAGTTCTTGGTCTTGACCGAATGGGGGTTTCATCAAATATTCCCTGCAAATAGTTTTATTTAAATAATTTTAAGACCCACAAATAAAAAAAACTTACAGCTAAACTTTTTGGAGTTGGAGGTATAATTCCTTGTTCTCTCAGTAATGAGTTGAGTATAGCATCTTCGGATTTTACAGTTGGTTCAGTTGGTTTCGTAGCTACATTTAAACCGTTTAAATTTAATTGTTTTAAAACGTCATCTAAAGAAGTTGCTTTTTGGGGCTGTCTGGTTGTTTGGAGAGCAGCCAGTTGGTCTTGAATAGAGTTCGGTAGTCTAGTAGTCGTAGGAATTGTTGGTTCTACCGTAGTAGTTTTGTCCCGTTCAACTGCCAAAGCGACAATCTGCAAAATAATATTGATTCCTATAATGAAGAGGGAGCTCAAAAAAATATCTGATTATAGCTTCTAACTAATATCTGTAGCCCCGTTCTGTTTGTTATGTGATCTGTTTTGATGACTAGCACGTTCCCTTGTGATACTTATGTGACCTGGTCTAATGTTTTCCCAAGATGTTCTCTAAAATGTATGCACCTAATCTGTTTTAATTGCTTTTATTTCAAAGTATCAAATTCATGTGGTCCTCTAGGTTATAGTACATTAAATAAACCAATTTCCAAAGACTATTCTCATGTATGTGGAGTTAGATCAATATTGAATTATTTAAATTAGCATTGATGGAATCAAAACTAAACTCACCCTCTCCGCTAATGTTTTGCTGGAACTATTTGGCTTTCTATTTCCATTAGTTGGTGGCTTCGTGCCTCTATTTGCTCCAAGACCCTAAAAAAGACAATTAGTTTTTTGTATTATGTATATATAATGCATATGCACTATTAGCGCATTACCGTAGCAACAGCAGGAAATACGATATGATTAAAGGATAACTGTTAGACCACACTTGATATACGGAACGGAAAGTAAGGCAGGGAATATGAATGGTGTCCCAAGATAAGACAAAATTAAAATTGAACGTATTAGTAGCATTAAAGGGATTTGGCTTATTCAAGACAAAGGTTTAAGTGGCTGAGACATATTCAGTGTAAAGGAAAATTATGCCACTAAAAAAATGATGGGATACTGTTAGTAATAACATAAGGTTTAAAGGTATTTATAATGAAATAAGCAATACAGGCCAACATGGAGATAATGATGATGAAGATTTGAATGCATTTACGTACTAAATTAGTCAAAAATGACAACTGCTGCAATAACTGAGCCTGTTCTTTTTCAAGTTGAGCAATAATCTTCAAATTTTCTCTTTGTTCTTTTGATAATTCATTTAATTTTATTGTTTTTGGTGTAGTTACTTCTATAGTATTAAAATCAGCAACCGTTGCGCTTCTCTTTGTACTAGAAGCAGCCGTTACCGTTTGATATGTTGATGTAATAGGAGTAGCAGTTGTTGTTACAATAGGCGGACTTGTAGTGGTCAATCTAGGTCTGGTAGTTGTACGCCTTGTTGTTGGTGCTGACGTGGTGGTTGAAGGTGTTGTAGTTCTCCGCCTGGCTGTAGTGGTCGCTCTTGTTGTAGTGGTCGCTCTTGTTGTAGTGGTCGCTTTTGTTGTAGTCGTCGGTCTTGTTGTAGTGGTCGTTCTTGTTGTAGTTGTCCTCATTCTGGTAGTAGTAGGTATAGCAGTTGTTTGCTCTGTTGTAGTTCTAGCAGTTGTCAAACGCACCGTTGTTGGTCTGGTAGTACTGGCGGCAGTAGATAACGTTTCATCAATAGATGGAGCTGCAGAAATTCTAATGACCCCCTCTGGCGATGTCGTTGGTATTATCGGAAATTTGGTCGTTTCGAAAACGTTAGGAAAAAATGTTGATAAAAATATCGGGAAGAATGTTGACGTTGGAATAGTCGGAGTGGATGTAAATCTTCTACCTTTAGTGGGCTTAGTAGTGGTACGGATAGTCGTAGTTGTATCATCCAATATTTTGTTTGATAGTAATACTGAATCTTGTGTTGACATTTCGATCTGGTAAACAAAAAAAAAAGTAAAATTGTTATCATTATAAAATACATTAGAGTTCTCTAATACCTTCGGTGTTTCTACTGTTGAACTTTCTACGGTTGTTGAAGCCAAAGTACTTGTTAGATTTGCAACGGAATCAACCTATAACATTAATTAAATTATATAATAATGCTAATAAAACTTTTTGGCAATTTATTCACATAAAACTTCTTTGACACCAACTAGGTATGCCAATACTATTTATATTTACTTGTCTAAAATTAATTTTAAATTAAAAGCTAAAGCGACCTTTGAAGCATCAATAATAGTGACCTTTAAAAACTCTTCCAAGTAGGCAAATAAATAACGAATCTACAGTTATTCAAGTCATTAAATATGCAGGGAATTTAATGAATAATCAATTATTTAAAAATAAAATGAATGTCAATATTTTTAACGATGTAAAGGCCACCTATGATTTAAACCGGAAATTAACGGATATCTAGCATTTTAGCATTAGCAAATTTATTTTGTAATATTTATTATTGCTAAAATATTATACTAAAGTCTAGCAAAGGATAAACGAAATAAATCATTTAGGATGGGGTCCAAGCTTAAATGAATTTAGTTAGGGATACGTTCTCTAATAGCCACTTTATAGTTTCTAATTTTTCTTTTTGTAAATAATATCCTTTCGATCAGCTAGTAAAATTCGTGTGGCAATTGCGGATTAAAAACATTTAATCATATGAATAAACGCAAAGTAATCAAAAAGACATAAGAAAAAATAGTACTATCTTTTATCTCCCTCTTGACACAATATTTTTTACTCACACGCATTGCAAGTAAAATAATGTTAAACAAGTTCATTTTATAAGTCAGTTGGGTACATCGATGCTAAATATAATCAATAGAATTCAAATTCGAGTACTTCTTCATTAACTGGTAAACTGGAGGTTAAGTGAAACCATAATCGGATATAAATTACTTGTCTTACATGACTAATAGATGCTTCTAGTATCCTTTGCCTTACTTTAAAAGCAGGCAATTTTATGTTTTAAGTTCTAACTACTCACAGAAATAAATTTGCTGTCATTAAACTGAAAAATTAAGTTATAAGGATTTAAAATACTTCACATCGATTGTATATATCAAGTGTTTAGAATTTATAGTGAACAAATATTTTTAATGTTTTATAAAACAAGATTTTGCTTCAGCTGTTGTTTTATATAGATTACATGTTGCGTCAGAGGACTACTTATACATTTCTAGCTTTGCTGTTGTCTAGTGGAACACAAACACTGCGTGCCGAATACACGATAATTCAGATGGCCTAATGACTAATTTCATTTATTATTTGCTAGACTTGAGCAACATTCTATTTAAGTAAAAAATGCTTTCAATCATGTCCGGTGTGTTAATTAGCGACCAACGCTTCGAACGCTATCATTGTCTGAGATGAAGTAATGCATAGAGTAAATTTCCTAAAAAGCGTAGTGTTTTTTATTATGTATGTATTTACAAATGAGTAAACCCAGTTGTGAATTTAGTGTGTATTAGAAATAAATCAAATGAAATGATTCTAAGAAAATATATACAATGTACAATTTAATATTACAAATTAATATATTAAAATTAACAATGTTAATAAAATAAAGTCGTTGCAATACAATTAAGAACAAACCTGTATTCTTAGTAATATATTTATCTTATTTTATTACACTGAGAAATGAACATGCGTACTCTCTTTTACTTAGCAACTGCCCCACGCGCAGCTATTTTGCGTCCTTCTCTGTCGCAGAGAAGAGTACACGCAGTGCTTCTCTGTCGCTTCACTATCTTACTTAAGTGCACCCCTTATAATTTTCGGACAATGATTACTCAAAAAATAATTTTGTTAAAAATTTAAATTTTAAAGTTTACATATATTTTAAAGTTTTAATTACTTCCAGTATCTAAGAAAAAAATTAAAGGGCTTTAAATTTTGAAATATAATAAAAAAAATGCATTTCTCAACAGAACTATTCCTAATAATCCCCAGGCTCTTAATGTCTTGTTATTGATTTTTTAAAATTCGTCAAAATTAGTGGCCAAAACGCCTCGTTAAGTGCTATCTTTTGGTGTAAACTGGTGTAAACTAGTATATATTTTCGTTGCAAAAAACAATGATGACTGAGAGTATACAATACGATAGTTATAGGCGCGTTACACCAGAAGGCAGCAGTTAACGAGGCGTTTTGGCCACTAATTTTTAAGAATTTTAGAAAATCATTAACAATATATATTAGGAGCTCAAATTTCGGGATTATATTAGGAATAGTGCTGTTAAAAAAGCATTTACTTTCATTGTAATATTTTAAAATTTAAAGCTCTTTGATTTTTTCTCGGAAAATGAAAGGAATTAAAACTTTAAAATATACGCATATCTAGATAATCTGTATCTGTAACGTGCGAAGGGTGGGTTACCTCCACGGCACTTAGACCTCATTAGGCCCATTGTGCATCGTCCTAAGATGAAAGGCACCTTCTAGCTCGTGAGACAGTTTACAAATTTAATGTAGTTGACAACGTCGCCAAGAGGTGCTTCTCTTATATCGGCATGTGTTAGCAGTTACTCGCCGAACACAAATCTTCTAATAAATGAGAGCATCGAGCAATCGTAAAGGATATGCTCGATAGTCTCATCTTCTTGTTCGTACCCTCTGCAGAGTGCGGATTCTGATAGCCCCATGATATGGAGATGCTTCCGTACTTTGCAATGACCAGTCAGAATGCCTGTGACTACATTGTTGATGGATACTTCGGGCAAAGCTTCGTGACATTCTAGTACTAACCCTGAGTAAATTCGTGATCTGTTTTTAGGGTGAGTAGTGCTTGTCTGCTATCTGTATTAATGAGCATGTTCCTTCCAGTGATATTGTTTCTGGTTATTTCTTTTTCTGCTATGAGAATCCCCGTTAGCTTTGTTTGAACTACACTGGCACTATTGCTAAATCTAGATAATACCGAACTTATTTTGCCAAAATATTAATTTTTTAAGAAAGTTACTTTTTAAAATATCCTTGTCCGAAAATTATAAGAGGTGCTGTATTCACCTTAATTTTCCCATAAAATGATCTACATCTTTATTTATAATTGCATTTAGAAAAGTGATGAGGGTAAATTACTTATATCAGCTTGTTTATATCTGTCAACCCCGCGAATGACGACCAAGAAAAGGTTGCCAACCATACTTTGTCATCAAACTTATCGTCTTTTACTCTCAATTCATAATATATTTTTCGAGAAAACGAATTATAGTACCAATCTATAATAATTAAACAATTTTTAATTAAAAATAATCTAAACTGCATATAGGAAGTCAACTATAACACATTGTGTTCATCAAAAATGGCGTGTCCATAAAGCTACTGTTGGTGAGATCAAAATAAGTCGATTGAACCAAAATTGCCTATACTACAAAGTGCTCCGTTTGCCTGTGATGGTCTAAGATCCGAAGCAAGGTCGACCTTAATGGATGAAAGTTTATTTTTATTAAATAAAATATGTTTATAAATATACCGCAATTGGGTTGCCTAAGAAAATACAGTCCAGACTATTTTCTTAAAGTAAAAAAAACGACACCCTGTAAAGTATTCCCCAGATGCTTCGACTATGCCCAAACTTTAATCAGTCCACGGCAGGATGGATTATTAAAGCTTACACTTAAAGAAATACACAAAATTTTAAACTGAAGCTTGTTGGTATATTGGTGTATTGCTACGACTTTATTTATTTTATTAGTTTGTATATACATATTTTTTTGTCAATTAGTCTATTAGTATCTAACAAAATTTGAAAAACGAAAGTAATTCATCCAAATCATATTAATTAGTAAAAAAGTATTTCCTAAAGTGCTGGTTTAATTTATTCGATACAAAGTTGGTTTCTCCTGAAAGTGCCCAATTACTGAAAACATGTTACACACATTTTGGGAACAAGGTAAATGCCGAAAATATTTATACTTAGATTTCTTTTTCGCAGTAATGCCGTAAATTTGAATTACATATTGTTTAAACCATTAGAAAATAGTATCCAAAATGGTAGGCATCTAATTATGAATATCTTATCAGCAGCCAATAAAAAACGCAGTACGTGGGTGGCGCACTATTTAAAATATTTTTTAAATATATTGGTAAATTATATACAAAATACATAAGAGAGGTAAAAGAAGAAGATAAGTTCTTACCAGAATTAATTATTAAAAGCGCATTCTTTTGGAACCAGCGATTAATTTTTTTTATATTATTAACTTTAGAACTTTTTTATAAATAAAAAATTGGATGAAATACTTCTGCAATATTTCCAAAGTGTTATAATTAATATTGTCAATTTATTTAGTCACAATATAAAATCTTGCCTTGTCTAAGATTGGTCGTCTATTGAAAACTCGATCTTCGTTTTGATTCTTTATTAAATCCTGTATGTTCAGTACCTGAGTATACTGACAAAAAATTTAAATTACTTTTTGAACTGATAGAATAGAAGACATTTATACCGGGTGTTCAAATTAAAGTGTTACAGTTTAATATCGCCGAAAATATGCATTTTATAAAAAAAAGTTTCAGACAAAAGTTTTATAGTTTTTTGGGGGAAACATTCTGGCCATTTTTTTTATCTATAATATGGCCATATCGAGGTGGACTTTGTTTTTTAAATGGGAATCCCATTTTTTTAATACATATTCTTAAAGTACATAAAAAAATAAGAAACTTTTGAAGAAAATATTTTTTTATTGGACTTTTACTTTTTGAGTAACAGCTACTTGAAAATTTTGCTAGGCGAAAAAAAAGTTGACTATATTATATTAGCTATAAAAAATGATTTTAGCCAAAAATTTTTCCCTACAAAACTTTCGTCTGAAACGTTTTTTTTTTATAAAAGGCGGTATATAGCTGTAACACTTTAATTTGAACACCCGGTATAAAGACAAAAAATTCGTTTTACAATTATTTCTTAGTGTTTTTGAAGACGCAAAATAAAAAACAAAATGAATAACTAATTTCATACTGCAGTTATTGCACTCGTTTTTTAGATTTGGACTCGTGTAATAAAACCTGTCATACGAAACTTGTTCTTTAATACTAATTAATGATGTACATAAGAAAAGAGTATCCAGTGGCGACTTGTACATTTTTTTACAGAAGAGAAAAAAGTTAGTTTTTTCCCCGCTCTATATGTGTTTATGAAATACATGTACACATTAAAACAGGTAAATATTTTAACTTTCCTGGAATTTATAAAATATGAATTGTTTAAATACCCTACATAACATCAATGTTCTATGAATATACTAAGAACATATACTAGAAAGTATATACGTGCTTTGACAAAATATTCTAAAAGTATATACTGAGTACATGCCTTAAAAGTATATTCTAAAAACTATATACTCCGCACGTGCTATATATACGGTTAAGAGACTACCCAGACAACACACCAAATCCCATAGATATCCGCAGAATATCTTTTGTGGATATTCAATATATCCACAGGATATCAGAAATATTCCGTGGATCTAATATGGATATCCAAATGTCCGTCTATATCCAGGATATAGAAGATATCCTAATGGATATTCAGCAAAATATCTAATGGGTATCTTCCAGAAAATACTAGAAATTACAGAGATATCCACAGAATATATTTTGTGGATATTCAATATATCCAATATGGATATCCAACCAAATGTCCGTCTATATCCCAGGATATAGAAGATATTCGGATATTCAGCAACATATTTTATCATCAGTAGAGGTTCATAAGTAACCAATGATTATTGAATAACGTCGAAAGAAAATAGCAGAGATAAAAAATATTTTCAACACTCAAAATATTTTCAACACTCTGCCTTTGATTTTGCCCACTAAGGAGAAATTCATCCTTATTAGGACTCTTCAGCAATAAATGGAAATTCTCGACTCCAGTCTCTAATGGAGTCTGATTAGAACACAAATTTCGATCGAACTCAATTACGGCGGGTCAAGCATGTGTAGATGCGAAAGTGGTATCGCCATCTATACTTAGTAAGCAAAATCAAATAACATCTAGTGGATATCCACGATGGTTTGCGTTCGCGCCTAGACTTTGATATATTTAGGGGATGTCCATGGGATATTGAATACACCTTAAAAAAATTAATTTTAAATATCTGAACGGTACTATTAGCCACAATGGCGAGCACAATGGCGTAATTTTTTAATAATTTGCTATATAATTACTATTATTTATGGACATTTGCATGTCTATAAATTACATTTCATGGATATAAAATAGATATCTACCATGGACTGGACATTCAGTGGATATTGGGATGTTCAGTAGATATCCAAAGGATTTGGTGTGCTGTCTGGGTACTAGCTACAACTTAACTTTCCTATCTTTTTGACGTTGACGTTGAGAGAGCGAACCGAATAATAAAAACCATGATAGCACATTATTGCGATCACTAGGAATGGGATCTACACCTGTCCCATCTCAAATTTGCGATCAATGCCGACGTAATTGGAGGTATACGAAAGTTGATTGGGTCATGAAAAAGGGACATTAGCAGTTGATCATGTTGCCGCTAAACCCGCACCGAAATACTGCGGCCCATATACCGTTGTAAAGATAGTATCACCCGTAGGCATATTCGTATCAAGCGTCCAGTATTGCAGGCTCACCTTTTCCGAGTTCCCTCGAATCCGTTCAGGTATACAGCGCGCGGGAACGCATTGTTCAGGCCTTTCGCGTGGTACTCAGCGTTCGATATCGCAACATATTGGCAAGATATGCGCCCCCTAAGTAATATTTTTAAATTTATGTGGCATATAATCCAAAACACATTTGCTTTAAAGTTTTATTACAAGTATAAACAAAGTAATTTTATGTTTTTTTTTAAGAAATACACAATTTGCTTATTTCAAAAACTTATTTTCTCCTAAAGGTATATTTTTCTCCACGCACAGGAGTAAATTGTGGGGTGCTTTCGCCTTCTTTTTAACTAAACAATAAACTTTTCGTCCACTTTGCACTTTTCTACGTCCACATGCATGAACCTTTCTTCTTGGAACTGATGTTGGTTGAACCGATATTTTTTTTCCTTTTCGGCATATATTTTTTGTCGAATTGATCCTTGTGTCTGTACGTGGTTTGACAGTATTGTGTAACACTGACATTAACGTTGACTCTGACTTCGTATTTATTATACGAATTTATACAAACATCCACCGCCGGGATAAAATTATCAGGGTCATCTTCGATAGATAAGACCATGACAAATGCCAAAAATTAATGATTGCAATTTCGAACGTTGGATACATTAAGCAGTCTGGATACGTCGATGCATTCGACGGTACTCGGAAAAGACGAGCCTGTGATACTGCACGCTTGATACGAATATGCCACCCGTAGTACTCAACCTAAAAGATACTAATGGAAAAAGGCTAAATCATGTACATATCAAAAGCTAAAACCGAGTGTATGGGTCAAGTAGTTCATATCTTATTACAGTTAAGTCTTCCTGAGATTATACGTGTTCCCGAGCACCAATATATCTACCCCGTTACGCACTTACCGTGAAAGTGCAAGTTATTATGATTTCCTGAGACCAAAAAGTCGGTATTTAAGACTATGGAAGGCAAGAAGATTTAAGCTTTGATGATGTTACCATAACTGGACCGAACACAGAAGAATCAGTAAAAAAAAATGTATATATTCCTTTATGACGTATTTCTTGGTTAGTTTGGAAGGAAAGATAAGTGTAAACGAAGTCCATTCTTATTTGTCTACTGAAGTATGAGGGGGATGTAATGAACTCATTTTTTATTACTTAGAAAGCTTAATATACGATGTCCGAAGTTTAAATGTTTCCCTAATTATTTATTTTTTAATTATTTACCTAGTTTATTTTTCATACATTATGGTTGATTATTAAAAGACCAACTGTTTGTATGTTTAAATAACACTGGTAATTTTTTATCAGTAGACGCAAAAATTCTAGTTAAAATAATCGCGTTTCCTTACTAGCGCCATACCGTACTATAGCGTACCTTTTTAAATTGTTCTTATTATTTTTTTTTGTTCTTATTATTTTTATTTTCGATAGGAAAATGTATTTAATATTGTTTTCATGATTGGTTAGCCCTAGTTACAATTTAAGGCTAGTTTAATTTAGTATCAAGTCCGGCACCAGTGCTACTGTGTTAAGGCGAATTTTTTTTCGTTAACTTTCGATTTAGCTTTTGTTTTTAAACACAATGAAACAGAATGATGGTCGGAAAAATAGAATATTTATTTAAATTTAAGAAATGTACGTCAAAATTATTGACGTACATCATATACCCATTTTAATATGTACATATATGTCAAAAAAGTATCCTGTATGCAATAAATAATATGAAATTTATAATTGCCGACTTTTTTTGAGGAAACTTAGTCTCATAGACCAGCCGCCACTGTTTCAAAGCAAAGTTTTATTTGATATTAATATATTAATTTTGTGCTGTGTAATTACTTACCGTATTCACCTTAACCCCATCAGATTTAGGAATGTCAGAGTTTTTATTGTCTGTTTTATTAACAATCTCATTATAAGCTTCCAAAATATTTCCATTTAATAACCCGGATAGCGTTGGGAACGTCGAATCGATTTTCCCTTCCGGCGTAGTACTATATACAGTACTGCTTTCTACTGTCACCATATCCGGCAAGGTAGTACCAGCACTATTCACATTAGAAGCGACGGTGCTAGGTTCTATTGTGCGTCCAGTAATTAGGACAGTACTCATTGGAAGTGAAGAGGTAGGCTTAGAATCAGAATAAATAGTACTAGTACTTGGTGTAGTGACAGTAGTAGAACTTTGTGCAGAACTAGAAACTTTGTAAAGTTTAGAGGTTATACGGGTAGTAGTGCTTGCGGCTGTTGAAAGTGAGTTTGTATCAGAGGGAATTGTGTTCTGTTCGTCCTAAAAATGTATAATTAAAATATTGTGATTTATTCACGTGTTTTCGTTATTATTTTAAACGAGGCAGCGGTTGCATAATAGCTTTAATTCATCGAATTAAATAAATTTTCAGTTTTATAGTAATCTAGTCGATACAAAAGCCTTGATCAGCTAATTCCTATCTTGAAGTACGAATAGATCATATAGATCGGGCGGGTAAAATAGGTCCAACTGGTCATTTTCCATCGGGTGGTAGAAGCCCATTAAATGGCGACTTGAGAGGCATTTCCTAGACACATTTGGGCGACATTATCAGTCAGCTGCCTTTTGGGTCAGCTGGCTAGATCTATTAAGGCCTAAGTGATGTGGGAGAACAACGCAGCTTTCCCACTATAAAAATTAAAGATGACAAACGTGTTTTGTATCTACTAATTATCAACTAATACTAAAAAACTGAAAATTTATATACACACTGCGCCCCATCTATCTTGAAATTGACCTTATTTTAATAGTGTAATTGAAGAAATAAAGAAATGGTTGGTTGATTTTGTTAAAACATAAATGGATAGGTTTGGGCGTGTACTAAAAGCTCAAAACAACTAATATAAGACATAATCAGCTGTTGTTATCAATACCATTTCTAAATTTTGAATCACTTGAGTTTCTGCAAACATTTCACGAACTAAAAATATATTTAATTTGATAATCTGAAAAAATAAAATATAATTTTAGTCCTTGTTTAATTTGTGTATATTTTGCAAATTATAAAGAAAAACAACAACCAAAACACCCACAATCCTCATGCAATAAGAACATATAAATTATTTACCAAATTGTAAAATAGTGTAAAGGTGTAAGCAAAGCGTGCATAAAATTTTACGGTTCATTTTGTAATGCACAAAATATCAATATTTCTTACCAAAAATTCATTTTTAGTTGTTTCAAAACATTCGCTACAAACTGGCGCCCAAAGTGGCGAAGATCATTTTTATTTTTAAATTATTAATTCTATCCGTTGTAATAAAATGACGGCCACACAGCGATCTAAAGAATATTTTGAAATTTACAAATTGACCCGTTACTCAAGTGATCCTATCGAAACACAGACAAGCCCAACACCATATAAAGTTACAGACAAAATATACCGTTTCGACTATTTTATTATCCACAGAACTTCCAGATTCGCTTGTTACTTGGTTACTTGTTATTTCTGGCAAAGGTGGGGGGTTTTGACGTGTATCGAATCCCCTTACCCTTATAACTGATTCCATGGGAACCTCTGTTCCATTTGGATATTTTTTCACGACAGTGTTGTTAGGATACACACCAATTACAAGAAACGGAGCATTAGCTTCTACCAATGGCCTTTTACGTAAGACTGTGTTATTATTAAGTACAGCGAAGATAAAATAGTCAGGAGTGGAAGTATCAATACTATTTTGTACAGAATCTTCTACAACATTTAACAGCTTTCCAGACCTACCATTAGCTTGGGTACTATTTACAGTTACAGGGGTACTACTTTCCATAGCACCACTATTGTCACGCAAAGCAGCTTCGGTTGTAACTTCTAAAGTAGTAGTTTCAACTTCAGTAGTGGTACTTTGTGTAGTAGCAGTGTTATCAAAGTTGGATCTACCTGCTATATTTATAATAGTAGTTGTGGAAAAGTTATCATCAGGAGTTATTGAGTTAGACAGATCATTAGCGGAAAAAACAGAAACACTTCCTGGACTCACTTCAAATTTGTCTAAAGTAGGAAGAGTAGAAAGTGAAGTGAAGAAATTTATACCATCGGTACTTTTTACGCCTACTTCACTCGTGCTTGGAAATGAGGAAGTTGACGGTACTGTTTGTGGCTCAATAGTAGTAGTCGAGGTTAACAGAGTTTCATCCAAATTTAAATCATTTACAGGAATAAGAGTCGATGATTGTTCTTGCGACATTGATACATCTTCTGTTACGACTGTTGAAGTTACAGAATCAGAGATAGCTTCAGTAGTTAAAACTGTGGATTGTTCTTCAAAAGGTGGTGCAACCGATGTAGGTAAATCAGTAGAAGTTAGTGCAGCTAAAGAAGAAATATCAGTAGAAGATACATTAGCATTTTCGGAAGTAGAAATAGCTTGTGCTGTAGTCGAAAATAAATTAGTAGACGTAGAATATGCATTAGCATTTTCGGAAGTAGAAATAGATTGTGCTGTAGTCGAAAATAAATCAGAAGACGTAGAATCAGAAGAAAGTGCAGTTGAAGGTAAAGAAATAGTAGAAGGTACTTCAGAATTTATTTCGTTAAATATCGTAGAAGTGAAAGTAGATGACAGAGGATAGTTCGAAGTTGACGGTTTATTTACACTTTTAGGCGTGACAACGACAAAATTTTCACTGCTAGGTAGCGGGGTAGAGATAACAAGACCGTTTAAAATATCTAACAATCTACCTATTGTCCGTTTTTGCAAGACTTCCTCTGGAGTGATTTCATCTAATATACTAAGTGGATTGACTGAAGTGCTGCTAAGTGCAAGAAGTGATCTGGTGGAAGACTTAGTCACGCTAGGTAAAGGTGTGGTAGTGAAAGAGCTCAAAGTATTAAAATTGGTACCTACTTGAACAGACCCATTTTTATCTGTTGCTTGTATAGCATTTAGGCTACTTAGTATCTTCTCAATGATTGTTGTTGGGTTTTCAGTTGTAAGACTTACTGTGTCTATTAAGTTTTGTCGTTGTCGTGTATCGTCAGTCTTGTCGGTTTGTCTAGCTCTTTTGGGTGCTAATTTTAATATGGCTGACGGGGATTCGGTCGTTGATGCTGTAATCTTAGTTACTGTATCTGTTGAGGGTGAAATAGTCGATCTAGCGGTTATAGAATTTATAATCCTTTCTATAATCGATACAGGTTTTTCAGTAGTTCCACCATTTACCTTCGAAAAGAATTTTGTTATTAGGTATATTAAATTAATTTTTGATTACGTTTTTTTACCAGTGGTAACGGAATAGTGACGGAATTTTCGGTGGGCACATTGTAATTACCATTTACAAGATTTGCCGAAGGAATAGCATGCACAGGTTCATCAATAGATATCACCTGAAGTCCTAGATCGTCGTCCTTTGTATATGTCGACGCCCCAACCTGCAAGTTTTTAATATGTAAGTACTTGTTAATTTAAAAATAGGTTTTATTCGATGGAAAGACATCCTAAGTGATAAATATCAAAATGTGATTGGGTTTTAAATGATAAGGAGATTCGATATTAATTGGTGAATTTTAGTTTGTTGAAAAACCTCCTTAGTTACTAACTACTATTAATATTAGTAAATAAAAAAATGACAAAAAATATTGGAACGGAAAAGTAATTTGCTCCTAACCACTGTACTCGGAAAGGTCATAAGCATCCCATTTTATTTCGTTTTTATTTACTGGATTAGTACAGAGAAACTATAAATCAAAGTAAAAACTTATAGTGGAAGGATAATGGAGGGGTAATGAAGGGGTAATGGAGGCGGCAATGGAGGGACAATGGAAGGATAATTGAGGGGTGATGGAGGGGTAATTGAGGGGTAGTTGAGGTATAATGGATGTGTAATGGAGGGGTAATAGAGGGTAATGGAAGGGTTATGGAGGAGGTAATGGAGGGGTAATGAAGTGGTAATGCAGTGGTAATGTAGGGGAGGGAGTATAAGTAGTTATTTATGGCCTAGGTGTATATATCTAATATGCAAGTTACAGTTTGTGTTTGTCTTCTTATTCGTGTGTATTCTGTGTAGACTTTGTTACTATTTCCCAGCGCCACTTCAGAAAGAGCACTGGTAATCAGAACCCAACAGTGAATGGTCGAGTGGGGAATCTTACTTATGCAATATAATTAATATTTAATTTTTTTTTAAATAAAAATTTCTGTCACCAGTGGGATTTGATCCTGAGAGTTTTTGATCTTAAAGTCATGACTCTAACCACTAAGCCAACTCACCCTCTCTAAAGTAAGTACAAGACGTGAATGTTGTGATCTTTGTCAGCCATAATGAAAGAGTAGTTCACAGACGTCATTTGCGATTGAGTGTTACAGGTATTTACTTTGAATATAAAATTGCAGCGCCGTCGATTTTTCCTTTTTGTTCTTTGTTCTTTTGTTCTTTTTGTTAAAAACATTTGATAGTTTGTAAAAAGAGTACCGTATATTTGTATGTATGATTAATATATCTTGTAATTATTTTACTTTTTCTATCAAATAAACCTATAAACCTAAAATGTTTTAAACTCTGAATAAAATGAATAATTCCAATACAAAACGTATTATCAGATGTAAGGATATTATTTGAAAATCACAATTTTCGGATACAGGAACATCCAAAACATTATAATTAATTAAAATACCCAACTCGACATTCTTTGCTATATTAAAAGATACTGTTGAGATACAAATGATATTACCAATTACTAATAATTATGTAAGTACACTTTAGCAGAATATTATCAGTTTTTAGATACTTTCTTTTTCAAACTGTCTAATTTTAAGTAAACCATATCGAGATTAGAGAAGACGTCATAAAGTTTATTCTCCGATTTATATTTGCTCTGCGGTATTAGTACTGCTTCTTGTGCATTCAAGAATTGTATTGACATATAGGTTATGAAACAAAATCAGTTTTAATGATTTTGTAATGTACTAAATGGTCTTAAACATTGCCAATGAACGGTCTACATCTCCACACATCTCTTAATAATTGAAAGTTTTATAGGTATTTATGTAATAACGAATTAAAGCAGAAGGGATGTTAATAGAACTTTCCGGAGGTAGATGTTAGGGCCAATGAACTTTCCACATGCAATGGTTCAATGACCTGCTCAGTATCCTCATTTATCATCTACTAATATTAAGTTTTATGTTTTAAATGAATAACATCTTGTTTTGACAAGTATTTTTTATTTAATCAATAAAAATAAATTTTTCCTAATAATAAAATCTGATTAACGAAAGAAAATTACATTTTACGGTAAATTGACAGGAATTGAAGAATGATAGAGATGTAACAATCATATAGAAGCTTTGGAATACCGTGTTGCATAATACTCTATTTTTTTATAGTTTTTATTAAATGAAGAATAAAAATATCTAATTATTTTCATATCAAAGACGTAATTTGCGTCCGAGGCCAACAAAATCTATACACGTCTATTATAGCAACAATCAAAAACTGTCACTGACTGTCAGGATTATGCGCAGTACTTTGTTAAGTGTTTGTGTTTGCAAATAGACTCCTGATAGTCAGTGATTATTTGTGTGTCGCTATTATAGCAAACTGCAAGTACTTTTTTTTAGTACTAAAATGAATTATATGTCATACTGAATCATATATAAAATATTTAACTGCAACGACAGATGAACAGAATCTTATTTTTCAAGAAATATAAAAAATAACTTGTCAAAACTGTCCCAAAAATAAATATTACTTAAATAACTAATAGCCCTTTTATTAGTGCATCTGTCTGAAAAATAAAATTGGTTTAAAATGTACTCGTAATTCTGTTTATTATAAATTGTTAATAAGTGCGAAATTGTAGCAGGTGCTCGTTAAAATGAAAATTTAATTTATTATAATAATATAGTTAATTATTTTAGTAGCGAATTATTAATATTTACAATAAAAATAAAAAAACTTATACATTTTTGCTACTGATTTTATTCATTGAACATAAAAGAATAATATAAAAATAAAATAGTACACCTTTCTCTTAATACTATAGGTAAATCAAAAATATATTAGTGTGTGATTCGGTACAATACCTATGTGATGTTTTAAGTGTACCTTAAAAAACCTAAGATAATGTACAAATTTCCCAAACTTTTAAGTAAACTGGAATCATTTTTGGAAGTTTTTCAAAAATATTTTTCAATGACAAATAAAAAATGTTTAGAGTGAGGCAAAAAAAACTTCACATACTTTCGGACCATATATAGAGTCTATTAAGTGGAAAGTCATGTGCAAATGTTCCATCTTTGTTAAAAATTGACTTTATAATATTTAATATTAGTTAAATTCTACAATTTTTTAGGGAAATTGTAGATATTGACACTTTTTAATAGCCATATGACATTTCTTTTAATAGACTGTACAAGGTCAAAAAATCTCGTGTTTCATCCTGTATTATTGTTTACTTCCTTATTATTGTAATTTTCTAAAGAAAAAAAAAATATAACTTGAAATATCGACAGTTTGGGAAACTGTATTATATATTTAAACTAAAATTAAAAACTAAATTTGAGATAACAGCAACCAATACCATATTTACTGATACTCAATAAAAAATTTCATAACCATTACAACGTTTTATGTAATTTTTATAGTTATAACTTATAACAATATAGCTACTAACAAAAATAATAAAATAGCCTTGATATTCTAACAAAATGAAAAAATGCCATCAAGGAAATATATTTAAATATTTTAATGAAAAAGTAAAACATTTATCTCATTGCTTGTATTATATTAAAATGTATTGTTACAATTATTATAATAACAGTTGGAGAATACCAAATCACAGTAGATATGTAAAATACATGGAAGAAGAGAAAAAGAAAAATTCACATGATAGAATGCATAGCCTACAGATTAAATATATTAAACAGCATAACAGAAAAAATATTAAAAAAATGCTAAAGAAGAAATTATAAAGAAGTATTATACATCTAAATTTGGACAACAGTAGAAAGCAAAAAGAAGAGAAAGAATAACAGATAACAATGCAATAAATATTATTTTTGTTATTTTGTTTTTAAGTAAAAAATAATGTATTTGTTATAAAAGTTGTAATGGTTTTGAAATATGTCACTATATATAACAAGCAGACTAATTCCTAGACGTGTGCAGAGTAGTGTTGAAAGATTTCACAGAAGTGTTGAGAAGGAAGAAAGTGTGGTACATAAAAATCTTCTGAATATTCTACTGACTGACCAGTGTCGGATTGCCGGACCAAACATTTGCCTTAAGACAAAGAAAAAATTGCTCAATTTAAGCGAAGGCGTACTATTTTATTTCTTATAATAGGTTATGGAGTTTATACTAAGTAAAATATTTTTTCTTAAATTAATAGTAATAATAGTCAACATTTCAATATTTTTTATGTATTATATGTCTACTATTTGCCGATGACATAATATTGTAGCTGAAATGAACATTGTAACGGATCTTAATGATCTGGGAAAAATAAACATTAAAAAAAGCAAAGCCATAATAAAATCCACTACAGGAGGAAGACAAAATCAATTTATAAGGACAGATATTGATACAAGTTGAAAACTACAGCTACTTAGGCACAATCATAGAGGAGACTGGAAAAAGGAACAAATAAGAAATAAACTAAAAAATCTGAAAAGCTGGAATGCCATTCTAGGCTCTTGGTGTTTCTTTTCTAAAGTATTATTGATTACAGTTATTCGCAAATATTATTCATGGTAAGCGTTTCATTAAGTATAATTCCTATTTTGAGGTTATGTTATTGTTTTGTTTTTATACCATAACATATACCATCATCATTTTTAGATTATACCTCTCGTAAAATGCCATCAAAATTTGTCTGTCTGCTGGCAGTAATACCTTTTTTTTGGAAACAACAACAACAAAAAGATTAGAAATGGTGAAAATCCATCATGTTAAAAATGCAGCTTGTTGAGAGACATCATTGAGGTAAAGTACCTATTTAGTTGGTTTTATCATTTTGATTCATAGTCTAGTTTAAGTTTTTTTCGCTTATGAAAAAACTGAGCATACCTATAACTGTAAACAAAAAAATCTTAGTTCCATATCTTGTGCAAATTAATAACAATTAATTTTTTTAAATAAAAATATTGCACAATTATCTCAAATCATAGCTCAGAGATGCTAGTTTTATGTTTTGCCAAGTTGCACAAAAAAAACTTAGGTAGGTACTATCCAATAATCATTTATTATCAAAAGTAAGGCAATTTATTTCTAATTCTAACAATATTTTAAGATTTACAGTGTTTTTTTTACCCATCCAGAACCTATTAACCTATTAACTTCCATTCCTGTAAAAATTATATTAATTGAAGAAAACTGCATATTTTTATTTAAAAAAATATTTGTGTCATTAATGTATACCAAGATGATATA